AAATTCTACTTATCAAAATCTAAGGATAAGGCAACATGCATAGGAGATGTGATCAGTTTGACTTTCTGATAATGCATGGTTTGCATTTGGTTGGAAGTGAAATGATATGGATGAAGGACATTTGGTTAAATGTCTACGTTTTGATCAATATAAAATGAGTGCTTATCTTGCTTTAAGCACGGGGCTGCACGTGGATTGAACCTGGTTGCATTTTTGACTAAGTTCAGAATAGTGGTATTGTAGGATTCGACCAAAGCTTGAACGGTGGAAGAGTTTTAATAGGATGGTGGAACTTCGATCAGCCTTAGAGCTTATCAACCAATGCGCGCTCGTCCCTATAAATACAGGGCACCATGTAACAATCAAGCCCCCCACAAAATCAATACAAAATTGCCCTGCGCAAACTCTCACAACTTGAGATCTTTTTCTTTTCCTTTTTTTCGCTGACACATCTTCCGTTGGCATCAACAGCACTGTGGAAGCAACCGGTGATATCTTAAGTCGGCATAGATAGCTCTGTCACCGTAGAGTCGGTCGGTCTCGCAGTATCTTCCGTTGGCATCAACAGCACTGCGGCGAGAACGGTCGATTACTTATCCAAGTCTCGGTCGAGAAGGGTTTTTCGAATCCTTGCTGGTCGAGGTCATCTCATTAGCCTTCTTGGCGAGGTGAGGTGTCACAGTTATTACATTCGGCACATTGCAAGCCGATTTCGGTTCGTGAACTTTGTAAGAAATAGCAGCCTTGTCTTCAGGCTCGAGAACCCAAGAGGCCGAGACGTGTTCCTTTCTCGGCCGCAATCGCAAGACGCAGAAGTCAGTAGCGCGACCCAACGCAGCATCATCAAATTTACTCCTCGGCCGAGCCTCGGCCGACGAGTTGGCACGCCCCGCAATCACCGAAGGACGTAGTTAGCTTAGAATATACTCGGCCTGCGCGCCACGTAGGCTTGGTAGATTTTAGGGTCAACAATATTATATCAAATTTTATTAAAAAAAAGTATATAAAATATTTGATTTGGGACAAGGGCATTTTAGTAATCATACTTGTTTATATTTCGATTCTGCTGAATTAGTAAACAGCTTTATGAAATTAGTGTTATTTCTATTCAAATTCTAGAACATTTAAGTAAACAGCTTCAACATGAATCCGATTCTGACTTCTCCTCATTCCAACTTCTTCTCAATTCAATTCCTTCTAAATTCAATTCCCTCATTACGGTTACGTAAACGTGCTATAAGAATCTCTTAAGCATTTCTCTCTTTATTTTCACTAGAAGGGAAGGGGTGTATTTGATTACTTGAAGTAATAGCTAATGATTAATAAAATGAGAGTTTGTGCTTGTATATATGTAACCAAATTCCAAGTGGAGAAAAGATGCTTCTTTGGAGTTCAATTAGGTCGTCCGAATCACTTGCATCAATTAGGTCGTCCGAATCTATTGACCTTGTTCAAACTAAGCTGCCTCAAAATAGAATGAAATTTAAGGTTTCAATTTAGCCACCTGAGCCACAAAGAATTCCAACAAAAGATTTGGTTCACACTTACACAACTTTCCACTACATTAAGTCCTAAAGAAAAGTACAAGTGCAACCACCACCTCCTTTTGTCACAAATTTCAACCTAATCAAACCCATGATAGCTTCTTCTCGCAATTTCATGTATTATGCATAATGGTTTTCTAAACAGAATTAGTGTCGATTGTTTATGCATATATTTAAAATTTAACTGTTAATACATGTGACGTTTATAATGTATTGTTGATCAACATGCACGTACGTAGACGACTGTCGGTAACAGCTTTGTGATTTCTTTGAAACTAGAAGCATAGAAGAATGGGGGAAGGTAAGGGCCATCGAATTTGAATTTGTTTTGCGACTAAGCAAAGCAAAGTAATAGATAGTGGGATATATATGTTGTCATTTTCAAAGTGGTTTTCATGTCATTATAGCCAAAGATATTAGAAAGGATTTGGTGGGAGTCCTCCAATTTAACTTTTTCACGACAGTATTTGATCGTGACTCTTGACTCCTACATTGCTTATTTCTTGTAGTTTCTTTTTTGTTATACATGCTTTTAAAGTGTGAATTGCCCAACCTTGCGGGTACAAAATTGTGCTGAGTTTGGATTTTTAATTTTAAAGTACGTATCACTGAGTGGTTCAAAAAATTAACAGTTAAATTTACATATAGAAATTTGATGAATTTTGCAATGATTACTTATTTCTTGAAGCCTCTTTTTTATAATACATGCTTTTAAAGTGTGAATTGCCCAACCTTGGGGTACAAAATATTACTCAGTTTGGATTTTTATTCTTCATGGTACGTATCACTCAGTGATCCAGAAAATCAACAGTTATATTTACACATAGAAATTTAATAAATTGTGCAATGATTGGATCTTATATAAATTTTGTACAACTGAGTAAGACGTAGTATTATAACTCAACTCCGAAGTTTGAATATGTATAGTGAGCATGAAAATTTATGAGTTATGATGGCTAACATATCAAAAATGTTAAAACTATGAATGATTTTAGTGCCATGGTTGGAATGTTGCCTAAAAGTGAGCATATGGAATTCCCCAGAAGTCTTGTATTTTCTTCATGCTTTCTCTTTCTCCTTTCCTTCTCGTTCTTCATTTTTTTCCTTCACCCCACTTGGACTTGGATTTTAATTGAGCATGGCGTGCAATACACGGTAATAGTACTAAGTTATAAAATGATATATGAACACGTGTATATTTTAAATGTCGAAATATATGGGTTTATAGTTGGTCCAAATTTTAATAAATGAAACACTGTTACGTATTGAACAAGCAATACACGAGAATAGTACTAAGCTATCAATTCTGTTTACTAAATACCGTATGAATACATGTATATGTTTTTAATGTCGAACCATAGAAAGTCATAAGGGTTTATAGTTGGTCCAAATTTAAATAAATAAAACACTGTTACGTATTGAACACATTTGGTAGCTTTTGCAAGATTGAAAAGGCATTGTTGTAGAAAGATTGTCCACGAGCTTATGCTTATATCTATATGAATGAATAAAACTTTCTCTAAAACATTCATAAGCTTGTTAAACATGAATCTGTTTTATATAACATTTTGGGCTTGGGGTAATTATACCACATGACTGTGTTTTAGTACCTGACAATAATACCCAAATTTGTCATGCTAAACTGGATCGTTATACACAATTTGGGTTTACTTTAGTGCCATACAATAATTTCTCCCCGTCAAATTTGTGGTTTTGAATTAGATCATTAAATAGGTGCTTGAAATATATTCCCTTGAGGTTGGATTGGCACATACCCTTCAGGTTTTATGTTGGGTGGTGTTATCCAAACATTTTTTTTCAACCTTACCGACACCTCTTGTTAATTCCTACTTTTTGATCCTCTTCAAATCATTAGATCTGACAGTTGGAAATTGAAGGAGGTGCGTGAAAGATAAAAAAGGATGTGGGATAACACCACCCTTTATTTTATGTTTATATAATCTTTTGGATTAGGGAATCGCCTTTGTGTCCAGTTTTTAATTAAGCACTCATATTCTACATCAAGTTAATGAGATTAAAAACAAAACAAAAAAAAAACCACTAACCCATGTTTCTTATCACCTATTTAGGTTAAAAAAAAAAAAGAAGATACAGATTACAGACAAAGAACAAGACATGAACAGTAAAATAAAATAAAAATGTTTTAACCTTTTTTTTAATCTAAAAATGTATGCATCTTCTTTTTTTTTTTTTTTTCTTCTACGAGTGACTCATCTCTCTTGTTTGTTTTAGAGAGAGAAAAATTAAATACTAAAGCATCAGCACCAAAATTATTCTCCTGATACGTCCAATTCTTTATTTTTTTTGGTAATTGAAAATTCTTTTTTCTAATATTTAAACGATGTACTTGTAAAAAAAGGTCCTAACTACGCATCACACCCTTGAGATTTGACTTGGTTGGTGTGAAATGTTGTTAGTGGCCCAACTAAAACAAGAGGGCCAGACTCTTGGCCCAACCAAACTCAATTTAGGCCGCAACTCCGTTTTATGAAAAATAGAAAAGTTTTTTAGTACAATAATATATTTTACACTAAAAAAACGGGGGAGGTCGGCTAAGTCACATAATGGCCAAAGTAATTTGATATCGAATTCGCAAACCATGAGATTTGAATCTAAGACTTCTCAAAATAAAGAGGAATAACATCAAACCGTAGTACTGAGTGACCTTACGGGTTTTAACTTATAAAACTCAATTTAGTTTTTCCTAAAGGATATCTAAACAGAAAAGCCGCAGCAGCCTTAACATCATATTTTTGAATAAGGACCAAATTCTTTTGCTTGCTAGTTTAGAATGACTAGAATTGCTTTAAGAAGCACCTTGGATTTTCAGTAAAAATTTCGACGCTTTTGTATTAGAGACGCTTACACAAGAGTGCTTTCAAGTTACGATCAAAAGTTAATTCAGAATCAGTCTCAAACATGCTCTAATTAAACTTTGGACTTTTCCTTCCTCCATTCGACACTTTTGCAACGAAAGGGAAAATAAAGTCAAGATGATGCATCTTCTAGATCTTGAGCCTAAGCGTCACCATTTAATATTAGTTTAGAAAAGTTCGATCACATACTGAGATACTCCGGAACATCATAAAATTTTGTTAGTAGATGGTTTTCTGTTTTGGCAACCGTTCTAAATCCAACTACCTTCAACCGTCCTTAAACTAATGCTATAACCTTCAAACCAACTGCCGTGTACCAATCAATTCTTATTAAATTTGTCTCAAACCAACTCCTGAATTCTAAATCAATTTTTATTAAATTTGTGGAGTATTTCTGTCGCTTCGGATAATCCACATGTTTTGAAATTGTTCTACTTTGTTCAACGCATCATCAAAGTTTCAAAATCCGACATATTACACATTCCAACTACTCAAACGTAGCTCTTTTTTATCAATGGAAAGACCGAAACTTGGAAATCTTATGCATGAAACGCTGTGGTACGTCGAACATAAAGTTGAAAGGCTCGGCCTAGAGCGATCGTGTTTGGTCCCGTGCAGCCAAAAACAAAAATATTATGCAACACTTAGAGATCAATGGCCCAGGATTTACAAGAACGAAAGATTGAATAAACTAGGAACCGTTTATAAATCCACATTTTGAGATTGAAATGTGCTTTACAAAACCCGGAAGTTACTTTTCTTCCGTTTCTGCTTGCTCAAGAAACAACTTCATGGAGGCACTCTTACTAGAAGACTGCTTCCAGATACTGGTTACGATGCCTCTTGTCCAACTCCAACACGCTACCATATGTCCGATCAGCGATCCCAACAAACAGAGCTTCTGTGTCCGGGCTAAAGGATATTCCGGCGATTTCACCGAACAGGTCAATCTCTTGTTCCTTGACATACCCACAATGGGTATCCAGGATGTGAACAAAGTCTGCCGGCTCAGCCATGGCCATGAACCGACCGTCTGAAGTGAACTTTATGGCTCGTATTGCTCCCATTCTTCCCTTTAACACGGCTACGGACTCTGAGAGGTTCCTTATGTCCCATAACCTGCAAGTGGTGTCTTGATTCCCGGTGGCCAAAATTTGTCTGTTCGGATGCCACGCCGAGGAAAAGCAATAGTCCAAATGGCCTTTGAGGCTTCCGACAGCCTGTGCCAAGTAGGTAGGTAAACCATCAGATCTTTGCTTATGACTTGCATAAATCACAAAATGAATACGCCGCACCGCGACAATGCAACTTACTTTTCCAGACTGAGCATCAGCAATCAAGCAGTCCGTGCTATCACCGAGTACTGCAACCAGTTTACCATCCGGACTAACAGAGGTGTTCTGCCAAGAATCATAAACAAGAAAAGCTAAGATTGAGAAATATAGAATGACAAATCACTCGTAAGGAACAGTTTCAGAAGAGGGTACTCACATTCACGGACCAATCGAACGAGAAGCAGTTGAGGCAAGTGAAATTCTGGACATCAAAAACTCTAACTTGAGCATCATTGTTTGCTGTCATTACCCTCATTGAACCGCTGCACAAAGAAAGTTCAGTTATAGGTCTTCAAGGCAAACAACCTATATCAGATAATGGCGGGATGACTTACGCGGGGTTTTGGAAAATGTCCACTGCATTTGTGATGGCATTGTCATCTGTTGTTAATTTTGAGCAGAAAGCAACTCCAGGTTGATTAATGTGCTGGCCGCACAAACGAAAAAGAAGAAGTTAGTAATAGAGAAACAATGGCTATGATGGATTCAGTAGTCTCAAAGGAATATTTGTTTGAGCACTTCCATACCTTGCAGATTAGTTCACCTTGGAATCCCCCAGCTACCAATAAATTTTCCTTCACAGCCATAGTGCTCATTTGCACTCTAGAGAGTGGACGAACCACCAACCCAGGTCTTTTCTGAGAGAACATGCAACGTTAACATTAGAATGGCCTTTTGGCCCTTTTTCCAATAAAGCGTGAACGATCAATCAAGCCTTTACATACCTCAGTAGGCACAACTGGTTTCGCTACGTTCAGTACTTCTTTGCCTCTCCTGAGTAGAGAAGACCAATGCATTACTGAAAAGTTTTGCATAACGTATACATCGTGCTTTGATGTAGGCCATAACAGATTCCTCAGCTGCCGGGGGAGAAACAAATCAAGTTGAGAGGTACCTTAGTAACAACATTCAACAATCCAAAACAAGAACTAAGATTATAACAAATATATGTCTGCTTATGCTAGATGACAATTATGAACTAACAGTTAAAATACTGCGACAGATATAAGGTTTAACCAGCCATAAGACAATAGAGAATTATAAAATCAAAATCGTTAAGGTCAGTGACCAGTATGTAAAAACCATGCAATATAGTCTTTACTTTTCATGGACCGGGAAAACCACCAACCAAGAAATCCAAAATAAAAAATGTTTCGTACCAGACCGTTGCAAGAGGATTATATGAAAAAATTAGACGCACAAGCAGTGAAAAAGTTGACTCTAGTGCCCTGAATAGATGATGAGATTATTTATGCTATGCAATTTTTTAGATACATGATGAAGGAATTTGGTCAGTATTCCGCTTTGCTAAGACTACATCCATCCCCTTCATTAGGCACAGAAATTGGAGATTAAAATGATAACGCCAGTACATGACAAATGCATCCAACCAGGAATAAAGCACATATAAATGGAACAACATGACGACTCTTCGATGTTCAAAGCAAAGCAAAGAGCACACATAAGGCTGAACAATAAAATGATCATGACCAATCCAATGGCATTTCAAGGTCACAAAAAGACAGACAGTATCATGAACAAATATCCATAAGTAAAAGAGCAGATGTGTATGTAACCACACCACCATATACTTCAGGTGACAGTTAAAAAAATATGTCAAAAACATGCAAATTTGAAGCCAGTGGATGCCTAAAAAAATTCTAATAAAATTCGAAGTCTAAGAAAGCAAGAACTGTGTTAATCGGCCCCCTCATGACCAGAACGCATCGACTTATTAAGAGGCCTCTTAATGCTCAAATATCTTCCTATCATACCATATTAACAATGTCGCGCCAGCAGCTCTAATGTCCACCCTGCTGTAAAAGCTGAAATAAAGAAAAGCTGAAATAAAGAGAGAAATAGCGGTCCTAAATGCAACAGATGGGTTAATGTGATATATTATATTCAACAGTCAACAGAAGCAATATATTTACCACCATAAATCAAAATGCGACTGATATGCAAAAGAAATGGCATACTGGAAAATTCAGAAGGTACAAAATTAAAGTGAACCGATTACAAAAATATGTGAAAGATTATGTGTAACCGTGGTTAACGATGTAAGATCCAGCAATTTAAGAGGCCTAGTTTAGCTAAAGCTGAAACACAAGCCTCAAAATGTATGCGACTTGTAGGTGCAAGTGTTCACAACTACTCTTAATCTTACAGAAATTAAGGGTTAGTTATTGATTCAACTGTTATTCTAGCTCATGTAAAACCGGTATATACAACTTAATTTCTATTATAGTGTTTGCCTAACAAGAACCCATGACAACTGTAAATGGAAAAAACACAGCAAATTTGTGAACAAGATGGTGACATATTGCCTACAGTATTAGTGGGAAGCTTAATCAACTACAGGTTACGCAAATAAGTTCAGCGTTACATCTCAGATGGTACATACAAGATCTACAATATGAAATCCATACCTTCCAGTGAATGGTTGAGCACATAACGACAATCATAAATTAAAATATCCTTCATAGAGGATAAATAAATTAAGATATCCTTCATAAAGGATAAAACATATTTGTGTAAGACCTGCAAAACTACAAATTAATGATATGCATATAACTAAAAGTAAAATACAGCTATTAAAGAAGCTTATATCTAGCAACAAGGCACAAAATTCATAAGGATCATAAGTTTTATGCACACAACATGCCATCTATCTTCAGTGACAAAAATGAGGAAATTATCTTGACGAGCAATAACCTTTGGAAGATCGAATGAACTATATGAAACAATGAATACTGATAGGAGCGAACGGACTAAATTATGCATATGATTGCGTAGTGGATGAAAGTTATGTAAATATTTCAACACCACATATGGATGAAGTTTTGAGAAAATAAAACTTAAACAAACTCAACAACAAAAGACTCTTATGTACTGGCGTCCAACAAACTCACAAACAAATTTCTTGAAAAACTATTTCCAAAGAGTTTACAAGCAAGAACAAAATCTCTACCTGGAAATGCACAATTGTGGACTTCACAATCCTTGTATTATAGTGAAAGTCATAGAAGGTCTTCCCCGTCTCTACTGGCAAGCACTCCTATCAAGGCAGAAGATTCACAAACATGAAGGGAAGCATCAAAACAGAAGTAAAGATGAATTCTTTAAGACCAACAAGGCATTCTTTATATATGTTTATTCGAGCGATATTCTAATTAATCTAATAGAAGGATCACGCTAATCTAGCCAACTTGGTTACACCGGCCAATTAATCAGAACCTAGAGCAAAAACATAGAGGATAGTATCCATGTTATGATGGGTAACAATCATTTTGGTACATATTGCAAAAGGTGAAGTCTTTAAGACCAAAAAGGAATTCTTTATATTATTCGAGCATATTCTAATTAATCTAATCGGAGTACACTGCTCCAGCCAACTTGATTACACCACCCGCAATGCAATCCTGATGCATTAGAGCAAAACAACATATGCAAATTCCACAAAAAACAGAGTGAATGGCACAAAATCGACACCTTTTCAAGGTCCTGGCGCGGCCGGGAGAGGTTCTCGTAGTTCTTGTACTGCTTCAATCGGGTCTCACGGTACCTATCGCTGTGGTGAAATTAAGCCTCTACCACGGAATCCCTTGGATGTCCTTCCCATTTCGAGCTTCCATTGCTGAAGTGTCAGTCTTCGCCTTGCTCTGCAAAAACCCCAAATTTTTTAATTCTTCTGGAAAAAAAATAAACATTACCAAAGTAAACAGAGCAGACGACCTCATCGAAGTCGTCGTCGTCAAAGTCCGAGTCGGCATCGTGGCCTCCCGGGAGCTGGTTATCGGCAAAAGCGTCGGTGTCATCAAAGTCGACGACATCGTAATAGTCGTCGACGTACTCCAGCTCGTCGTTCTGAAACTGCGCCATTTCCGACTGCGGAAAAGTCACAGATAAACTGAAATCCGCATTGGGCACTGAATCGAAACCGAAAGTGAGAGAGGTAGCGAAGGGATTACCTGGAATTGGGGGAGGAATTCAGCTGGGCGGTTAAGAAAAACAGAGTGTGTAGAATTTTCCCGAAAACAAACAGAAAAAGCGAGCGGTTTTTATTAGGTGGGGGAGAGAAATGCGATGGAGTGAGAAGAGGAGAAGGATCTTGTGCAGCTTATAGACTTATCCAGAGAGACGGGGAGTGCATGGATAGCGACAGCAAGTAGATTATTATTGCCTTATTTTTAGTTTCTCCCTGTTTACGTTATTTTGATTTTACTTTGCTATCTATCATTTTAAAATTATCATTTTACTTTTCAAATTTCAAAATTCATTTCATTTTTATTTGTGAACTCTTGTTTGTAGCCGTTAGATTATTGTCGCCTTCTAAAACATATGTAGAACGGTTCTGGGAAAATATCGGTAATATCGGTAGTCCGAAAACACGGAAATATCGATGGAAATATCGGTAAAATATCGATATCGATAAAAATTACATGGAAACCACGGAAATTGTAAGAAAAACTTTGGAAATTTTTATTGAAACTTTGTAGGATGTTTATTTAGTCAATTATCTATTAGTTTATCACAAAAAATTGGAAAGAAATGCATTGCATGATGGATTTAACATTATCAAGTTGATTATATAGCGAGCTGACAAACATTGTGAGTGTAGAAAATATGTAGTAATTAATGAAAGAAGTCTAAACACACCATAATCATTTATATATAATGAATTATTACAATATTTGGAGGTTTTATTGAGGATATTAAAAAAAAAAAAAGAAGTGAATAAAATGATGAAGAATAATGTGCCGAATTTGACACTTTAAATTTCTTACACATAAGCATGCGTTTAGGCGTTGAAGTTCCAAATTATAGTATATCAATTAACGATTGAAAATCAATACATTGAATAAGACTAAACTTTAATTTGGATGCCGATTATGTTTTTTCAAGTTTATATAAAGTAAAAGAATTGAATTTTGGAAGTCAGGAGTGTGTCAATTGTTTTATAATTCGTCCGAATACATATATCAGGTTGCTACTCAACGTAATTTGAAAGTATATCTAGTGCAAGGACTTGTCTTTTTTTGTTGATAAGCAAAGGGTTTGTAGCTTTTTTTGCTAAGCAGTAGAACATATTATGTTTGTTTAATCTTTAGCATTTGATGGTTGTCCACAAATATAGGATAGAAGGCCCCAAATTAGATCTGGCTCTTACCTAGTTGGAGTCACAAGTTCACATGTACCAGCCCTTGAGGCAAAACGTTTTGGTTTTCCGGCCAAACCACGGCGAGTTGGCTGGTGTGCAAGGTATCAATCTCTTCGTCTCGTCGAGTAGTATAACTTTCCTTTTTGTTTCACTCAATTTCGTTGAGTATTGAAAAAGTTATACTCATTTGAATCTTACCCAGTTTCCGGCGACCTCAGTGGCTTTCGAGGAAATTTCCGGCCAAACCACAATGATTCAGACGTCGTGTGAGGTACCATTCTCTTCGTCTCTTCGAGGGCTACAACTTTCCTTTTTGTTTCACTCAATTTCGTTGTGTATTGAAAAAGTTATACTCATTTGAATCTTACCCAGTTTCCGGCGACCTTAGTGACTTTCGAGGCAATATCCGGCCAAACCACGGCGAGTTGGCCGGCGTGCAAGGTATCAATCTCTTCGTCTCGTCGAGTAGTACAACTTTCCTTTTTGTTTCACTCAATTTCGTTGAGTATTGAAAAAGTTATACTCATTTGAATCTTACCCAGTTTCCGGCGATCTCAGTGACTTTCGAGGCATTGTCCGACCAAACCACGACGATTAAGACGTCGTGTGAGGTACCATTCTCTTCGTCTCTTCGAGGGCTACAACTTTTGGTTTTGTCTTGCTTGATTTTGTTGAGTTTTGACAAAGTTATGGCCGTTTAAAGTGGGTGTGGATTTTCGGCCGAAATTCCTATTTTCTTCCTTGGTCGAGTCCCACATCGCCCAGCGAGGGAAGTGAGCAAGACAAGAACGCCTATAAAAGGCACATTCACATGCTGAGAAAAGCATGTCTTGGTTGGTCTTTGGGGGCTTTGATCAAGTATAGTATGTGTTGAGATTTCTCAACATTTTTAAGTATATTTGAATATTATATTGTGATATTATCGATAATTTTAAAAATATCGCGATATTATCGATAATATCGTGATATTTTGACGAAAATCAGTTGGATAGTTAAAAAAATTTCGGGTCTTCAAAAAAACGATAATATTGGCGATATTTTGCTGATATTATCGATTTTTTCTTCCTTGGTAGAACCTAACACAAATAAAACTACCACGTGTGCATAAATTTGACTATAAATCTCTATTATGTGTTAATATTGAACAATCAAAGAATAATAAATTTAAAATAGTCTATGACATCCAAATTAAATCCACATAAGAAATTAATAGATTTATGGTAATGTAGAGCAAAGTTTTAGTTTATAGATCTGACTTTGAAGTTTTAGGGGGTAAGGGATCAAAATCAAATTTTAGAGGGCAAATGGAGCAAATTTTGAGTTTCAAAAAGTATACTTTTGAGTTAAAGAGAACAAAATAAGATTAAAATTGAGTTCTAGAGACATGGCTAATTTTTTTTTTAATTTTTTTAATGGATTTTATTTGTTCATAAACTCCCCTGTTTTGCAGTTAGTTGGACAAAGTGTAAACAGCAGAACGTCATAACAGAAGCTCCCACTCGACTTGTCCGAGGACTCTGAAATGGAATTGGATCCTCTCCGAGGCAAAGTCTCGGGATCCTCTTACCAGACAACACAGACCGTTGAATTTTAATCAAACGGCTATAATTATTATAATTTTAGAGGAACCTCCTATTTGTAGCCGTTGGATCAAAATCCAACGGTCTATATTGTCCGGTCAAGAGGATCCCGAGACATTGCCCCAGAGAGGATCCAATTCCCTCTCAAACACCCACAACTGTCAGGTACTTTCTGTGTTTTTATATTAGTGGTGGAAAATTTTAATTTTTAAGTTATTAACCTTTTAACACACATATCCCACAATTTATGTAAAGACACGTGATGTACCATCTCGTGTGACATTCACACTCATAAATCTCTTATACTAAAAATGGATGTGGGTCCCCTGCCACTAAATGCCTACAAAATGAGGTGCACTCCACGTGGTGAGCTCCTGGTGCGAGCTTCATGCTTTTGGCAGCCAACACGTGATTTGCTCAAGCCGACGGGTTCCCCATACCTCGATATCCTCGACACATACGATAAGGTCCGCTGAAGGCGTTGTTCCAAAACGGTTGTCGTAGTGTCCATCGCGATCAGTAGATAGACTTTGGATTTTTAGTTGGTTAGCTTAAAGCAACTCCACCGTGTGGAGTAGCCCCATGGACCGGTTATCAAACAGGGCCAAATCGCCCCAGCAAGCAAGTCCAGCCCATGCTGGGGATTGAGCCTGAGGGGGCCCGAGGGAGAGGCCCGTCACGAGTAGCTGGCTCGAGAGCTCGATGATCAGATGACACAAGGTTGATGTTAGGGAGACGTTAGCCACATTTCTGCCTTTTTTGTGTTAGGAGCGTGCACTTCAAGCCCGCGTGGTGGCGTGTCTCCGACACGTTTTCAGACGTGGGGCCCAACAACGCAATTTTTGAAACTTGCTGTTGGGGAGGCCACGTGGCTTCTTCATGTCCGTTGGATTTCAACGGTTGCGTTTTATGGACGGTTGCATTTCCAATGGTAAAAAAAAAAATTCAAACCTTCATTAATTTCAACCGTTGGATTTGAGATCAACGGTCGATGTTATTCTTTTGCAGCAATGATCTTTAAATTTTAACTTAATTAAAATAATAGTTTTTTAATTTTAACTAATTTAGGTCTCTCAACTTTAACTAACTTATAGTGATAGTCTCTTGATTTTAACTCAATTATAGTAATGATCTTACTAACATGACTCATTTCGACCATAACTACACGTTTTGATGAGTTAAGGTACCAATGGTTACAAATTTTTTATTGATGAACCATTGCTCTAATTAGATTAAAATTGAAGAACCATTACTACAATTTTCTCTCTAATTCAAAGGGCGGTGGCAATGGGTCCCACTCCAAACTCGACTTAGATGGGGCCCACCATGGGACCTTCTCGTTGGCAGGAAAGGTAAATAATCACTAATCGCTAGGATAGGGTTATCTTAATATTGCTTCCAGATTTGAGGTCGTTTTCCATGTTTTGGGTTTTCAGATAATATACATTTCTCACTTTTTTTTGTAGAAAGCTGCAATCAATACGATTTTTCTAATCCTCCATTCCCGAAAGGAAGAACATGAAATTCTTTTTCTTTATAAGTTATGTTTAAGTTTCGGAATGACTAACTTGAAGTTTATTGTTGGTTTTCATATGGATAGTTTTAATTTTACATTTCTTTTGTCTGAAGCTTTGGTATATGTAACTTAATTTCAACTTTGCATGGTTGAAACATCATAAATATATAGTCTCCAAGTTGTTTGTTTAAACTTTTGTGTGGATGATGACATATAAATGAAATTTTAACTAGTATTGACGTTGTTTAGTTCAAAATTTGAAAAATCATGTAAAATAAGATGTTATAAGATTGAACTCGATAAAGTTGAGCAAACCCAAACCAACCTATATAAACCCAAACCTGACTAAACCCGTATGAACCTGAATCCAACTCAAACTCAAATTATAAAGGTTGGGTTAAGATTGGGTTGACCATCTAACCCATCCAACCCACTCGTGTTGCAACCCGCACGACTAGCCACCAAGAGGGATTGTCAAACCAACACTCCATTTTTCAACCAACAAAAAAAAAAAAAAAGAGTGGGTTCAGTCATGAGTGAAAGCAACCTTTTTTGCCCTTGCCCAGCTGCTACCCTATAAACTCTTACCCTCTTTCAGTCCATCTGCATTCAGTTCTCCATCTAACCAAACCACTCACACAATGAAACTCCATTCGCACACTCCTGCTCCCTCAGCCCTTATCTTCTTCTTCACCACCACCCTTCTCCTCCTCCGCCCTACCGAGTCAACTCAGCTTCCATATTCCTGTGACTCGTCCCCACCCTCAACCAGCTCCTACCCTTTTTGCAAAACGACCCTCCCCATCTACAAAAGAGTCCGGGACCTCGTCTCCCGCCTCACATTGGACGAGAAAATCTCCCAACTCGTTAACTCAGCCCCTCCGATTCCCCGACTAGGCATCCCGAGTTACGAGTGGTGGTCCGAGGCTTTACATGGCGTCGCGGACGTCGGCAAAGGTATTAAACTTTACCCCACCATTAACAACGCCACAAGCTTCCCTCAAGTCATCCTCACCGCGGCTTCTTTCAACGACCATCTCTGGTACCGCATTGGCCAGGTGAGTCCAACTCACAGAGTAAAAAAACCCCAACTCGGCTTCGATCAGTTACCATTTTTGGTCGAAATAATTACAACCCATTACGGTTTTTTGGTGGCAGATCAAAACCCAAATAATAGTTATTGGGTTACTGTTAAAATCATTCAAATATAAATAAAGTTGTGTTTTTTTTCCTTCCATTTTTTAGGTGATTGGGACTGAAGCTCGAGCAGTGTACAATGCCGGACAAGCAACAGGGATGACATTTTGGGCACCAAATATCAACATTTTCAGAGACCCGAGATGGGGGAGAGGGCAAGAGACACCTGGCGAAGATCCAACGGTCGCCGGAAGATACGCGGTGTCGTATGTGAGAGGGGTTCAGGGCGACTCGTTTTTTGGAGGGAAGCATAAACTTGGTGCTGGTGGTCGTCTTCAAGCTTCAGCTTGCTGCAAGCATTTCACAGCTTATGATTTGGACAGTTGGAACAATGTCACTCGTTTTCGCTTCGATGCTCGTGTGAGTTCTTCTCCTTTTTTTTGTTTTTTTTCATCTATTGGTCAATTAATTTTCGAATATGTTTTCGAATTTGGAAGGGTATAAAAATGTTCGGCTAATAGGAAGATTAAAATTGTAGACAAAATTTTTCAAACTAAATGACATGAAAGTTGATAATTGAGTTATTACTTCAACGTTGATTAACATATTTATTATTTATTGATGACGTATTATTTGATTTGTAAATTGAGCCTACACATTTAATCTACCTAGGTTTTGAATGAAAACATAGATGACAGGCAGTCCATCATATCTTATCCTGGTGTCATGTTCTTGGATAAAATAATGAGGAAAAATGAATTTAAGTTTCTTCTTCTTCTTCTTCAAAAAAAAAAAAAATGAATTTAAGTTCTACACTCTTGTTTTTAATGCATTCTTTTCTCCATTTAAATTGAATAAATGAAAGGAAATTTGACTTAACTAGTAAATGTTCTTTTTATTGTACTTTTCTTAGATTTGTAGACTTGTATAACTTTATGTGTTTGTTGCATGCAGGTGACACAGCAAGACCTAGCAGACACATACCACCCTCCGTTCCAAAAATGCGTGCAGGAAGGCCAAGCCAGCGGCATAATGTGTGCCTACAACCGCGTCAATGGGGTTCCAAGCTGTGCAGATTATAATCTCCTCACCAAGGTTGCAAGAGGACAATGGGACTTTCATGGGTACTTAACTATCACTATAAACTGTCATTTAGTACTACGGTCTAGTGATATTTTTTTTCACTTGTAAGTGAAAGGTTTTAGGTTCGATTTTCGTCAAAGGCAAATTCGAACCACATTATTACTATCGTATTGTAAGGCTAAGCCCACCCCCTTCTTATTATTATAGATAATATCATTTGTTAAAAAAACTATCACTACAAACTCATTTTTTTCATCATCCTTTTCCTTTAACTATAACCTTTTTGCACTCTTTTCATTTAATTATGAACTTTTTTCTGTCAATTATCGTTGGGATAGATATGCTAATACAGTTGATTCATGTAATGGTGGACGACTGTGAGTGGTTGATTGGTAGATTATAAATTGTAAGGCACGATTTAATCAATCGTCGATAATTGTGTCTATGTGAATGTGACGTGAGTCAGTTAATGACGAATCTCACATAATGTGTCTAGTCATTAGGGTTTTAGATGACTAATAGCTAAACTTTCATAACCATAATTTGAGGTCAGAGATTTGGTAGAAATGGTTTACCAAATATATGAAGAACCATGGTGCTAATTTTAGCATGAATTAACGAAATGCTAATAGAAGCAAAATCATAATAAAAGATTCATATCCATTAAAATATGATCGATTGACTTGACACTTAGTATTACGATTTAGTGATATTCATGTTCACTTGTGTAAGTAAGAGGTCTTATGTTTGATTTTCATCAAAGACAAATTTGAACCACATTATTGCTAACCTGTTGTGAGATTTATCCCACTTTTCCATTCTTTTAGGGCATATAATATCGTTTTTTTTTCAAAAAAAAAAAATCCATATTTATTTATTTATTGACCGAATTGGGGGAATGATCAGGTACATCACGTCGGACTGCGATGCTGTGTCCATCATCCACGATATGCAAGGATACGCTAAAAAGCCCGAGGATGCAGTCGCAGATGTCCTCAAAGCAGGTATGGTGGGACCAATCCCTTATCTATTAAGGAAAACTAATGAAAATGGCTTGAAAACTTTGAGTTTTAATGATAAGGACAAAATAAAAGGTAAAGTGAATAGTAACAGGATTGACTTTTTAGTGTAAAAATATGGTTTTTCGTTAAAATTAACAGTACCCGGTGCTTTTCGTTAAAGTTCCCCTATCTATTATCCTTTCCTTTTTGCCTTTTTCTATATCTTGTTTACTATGTTCCTCACTTTTGTCTTTTTGTTGGGTAATTGTGCAATCTATTCCTTGTTGTCATGGCCCATTTATGAACTCACATGGGCCCCAACCACTTAAATCCACTTTTTGGGGTTTTTTTTCTTTTTCAAAATTTTCCATCATCTACTTAGAACAACTCAAAATCTTATGTCGATAATTGCTTAGGTAATTGAATAATAGGCGATTATTAACTTAGTGAATAGTAATTGTCTGAGTATATTTCACCATCCCGTAAAGGAATTGTCTAAGCAATTGACTTTAAAAAGTTATTATAAAAAAATAATAACAAAATGATAATATTATGTTTAATCTCGAATATAATTTTTAACAAGTTTCGTCACACCACATGTCACTATCCGAAATTACAACTTTTGTCAATAGATTTTCGATTAGTTTTTTGACTAATCTCGTAGCTTTACGTGATCGTGTAAGAATTTCTATATTTAAAAAAAAAAATCCTTTTCTAATTGAATTAAAACTGTCAGATTATTATTATTATTATTATTTTTGCAATGAAGTGTCGGATTACTTTTTTTTTTTTGCAATCCCAACAACCTAGATTGTGTCACGTGAGCACAACGGATAGATTCAGATTTTTTGCTAAATTTTTAACCTAAAAATATTTGCTAAATCGGAAGGGTAATATGATATAGCCGTTATAAATCTAACGGCCTATATCGCGCTCGCCCTCATTAGCCAGCCATCCCGGATCGACAGGCATGCCCCTCGCCGTTGGGTTTAGTAATATTTATTCGGCCTATAAGGCAGGCAAACTGTCTAGAGCCAAGGACTAAACATGAAAAAAAAATCTTGGATTATGGAGTCTAATTAGTCAAAATTTGATACATTGAGCCTATAATAACATCCGAGATACGTACAAAATAAACCCAGTTGAAAACTTATAATAAAAATGAACTAGAGAGACACTAAGTAGACAACGATCCTATTTTCAATATTAATCCAAGTTTGATTAAGAAACATAAAATTCGATATTTTATACAAATGTTGCAGGCATGGATGTGAACTGTGGATCCTACTTGAAGGATCACATTAAATCAGCAGTGGAGCAGAAAAAGCTAAATGTATCAAAAATAGACAGAGCACTCCACAACCTCTTCTCAGTGAGGATGAGGCTTGGCCTGTTTGATGGAAATCCACTGAAACAACCCTATGGAACCATTGGTCCAGACCAAGTGTGCTCCAAACTGCACCAGGCTTTAGCCCTAGAAGCTGCTCAGGATGGAATAGTGCTTTTGAAAAACTCTGGTAGGCTTCTCCCACTCCCAAAAGCAAAAGCCATTTCATTGGCTGTCATTGGTCCCCTTGCTAATGCTTCAGAAGCACTTCTGGGAAACTACCATGGTCTTCCATGCAAATCCGTCACCCCATTAGAAGCACTTCAGGACTATGCTAAAAACATGATCTCTAACCCGGGCTGTGATTCGGTTCAGTGTCCCCAAGCTTCTTTTGATGAAGCTGTTGGAATGGCAAAAGAAGCAGATTATTTGGTTTTGATTGTGGGATTGGACCAAAGTCAAGAGAGAGAGGGACATGATAGATTGCACTTGGAATTGCCTGGGAAGCAGCAACAGCTAATTACTAGTGTGGCTAAAGTTGCTAAGAAACCTGTTGTTCTTGTGATTCTTAGTGGGGGTCCAGTTGACATTTCTTTTGCTAAATTGGACAAAAAAGTTGGAAGCATCTTGTGGGCTGGATATCCTGGTGAAGCAGGTGGAATTGCCCTTGCTGAAATCATCTTTGGTGATCACAACCCAGGTAAAATTTGATGTCACTGCTTAGAAGAACCAATTGACAAAGTTCAATAGCGTTGGCTTATTTAATACAATTAACAATCAAATAACATAACATGTACGGGAGAGTTAATCTTGCACACAAAATGTTTGACAAAGTTCGATAGTGTCTTATTTTAGCTTTAGAAGAACCATTTGACAAAGTTTGGTACCGTTTTCTAGCTACTTGATATGTTGTTAGACTATTAATATGGATCACGTACTTAACACAAAACGATTTGATTGACAGTCGGATAACCTAATATGTTAGTTACAGATAATTTTACTAACAAAAAGTTTTACTTATTTAATGTTTCCTGTGCAGGTGGAAGATTGCCAATGGCTTGGTACACACAAGATTATGTTAAAATGCCAATGACGGATATGAGAATTAGGCCTGACCCAAAAACAGGCTACGTTGGTCGCACTTACAGATTCTATACAGGCAGAAAACTTTTTGACTTTGGTTATGGCCTCAGCTACTCAAACTATGTTTATGAGTTTGCCTCTGCAGAATCCCAGAACAAGCTCTACTTAAATGAATCATCAATTAGTCCCACAGTTAAGTCATCGGACTTCGGCAGGTACCAGTTAGTCCAAGACCTAGGTGAAGAATTCTGCGAGAAAAAGAAGTTACCGGTCAGAGTTGGGGTTCAAAATCATGGCGAGATGGCCGGGAAGCATCCGGTGCTGCTTTTTATGGGTGAGAAGAATCCAAAAAATGGAAGGCCAATGAAGCAGTTGGTTGGATTCCAGAGTGTGATATTGAATGCTGGGGAAAGAGCAGAAGTTGAATTTGTTTTGAGCCCTTGTGAGCACTTGAGCCATCCAAATGAGGAAGGTTTGATGGTGGTTGAAGAAGGTTCTTATTTCTTGGGTGTTGGAGATGTAGAGTACCCTCTTGATATCATAGTCTGATATATAAAGTAAGGGTTGCTTCTTGCAACAGCCATATTCGTTGGTTGCGAAATTATGAATGCAAATCTTAAATATGGAAGAGCCAACTTTGAGCTGTTTCTGGTAGTCTTGTGTTCCTTCGTTGCTACCGTCAAATCAACATTATAATTTTCGTGATCGATTCATTTAAGTTTATTCATCAAATGATGTGGTTATATACATATCGATGTTTTATTAAAACTGGACAAAATTACAAACTTATGTCTTTGACAATATATAATGATCAAGACTGAACCGATATTTTGAAATATGCGTTGACTCTTATGGTTACCAACTAATGGAGGAGCAGCTGAGTTTGATGGCTTATGATTCCGTGCTCTTTTATTTTTTATTCCTATGATTTTTTTATGTCTTAAAGGTGAGCATGTGTGTTAGATGAATATTAAACCGTGTGCCACTAACCTGATGTAATTAAGAACACGCGTATCTATATGAGATTGTAGCAAATAGAAAATCGGGAATATATTTACTCACCACTGATAGGAGCATATTTATGCGACTTAGTTGGCTTGTTCTTGTGCATTTATGTCGTGTTTCCTTATTTATTTTAATGTTTAAAGTCAGTTTCATGTGTTTTCAGATTTTAAGGACAAAGTAGGCAAGAAGATGCATTTTGGAGCATTTTGGAGCAAAATGGAGCTTGGAATGCATGTCACATATTTGGAACCAAGGTTTGGACGAAATTGAAGACTTAAAGAGGCTAAGAGTGTGAAGAATTAGTGTACAAAGGATCATGAACTCAGCCACAAAAGAACACACATCCTTGCCGTGCAATCCACATAGCATTCCCTTTGGATTCCCATGCATGATTAATCATCCTTGTCCCCTAAAATATTTCTGATTTCATGCCTCAATACACTCAATTATCACACTCAATTGCTGCATACCTCTTGTTCCCTTCACCCATCAGATTTCACAACCATTCCATGCACCAATTGATGCTCCATCATCTACATTTGGGATCCAATGCCTTGTGCAACACATGTTGCTGCACCTTTAACTAATTTCTGAAACATTTCACCTCCCCTTTTCATTTCCATGCAATGAACACAATCATTCATGCTCCCTAGCTGAAATACCACTCCATTTTACCCTCCATACTTTGCATCATTGCTCCATTTTCATCCTTGGACCATTGCACACCACAAATTCACCCTCCTTGCTGTGCATTTCCCCACTGCCTAATCTGATTCTCTAGGGTTTTTGGGGCCTATATATACATGTTTACAACCCTTGGCAAAGGGTTGAACCTCCCATATTCATCATTCATGCAGAAAATTCGTCCATACTCACCCTAGGCAGCAAAACACCCCAAAAACACCATTCTAGTGCCCAGAAAACATAACAGCCACTCCACCCTCTTCCACCCTTTTTGCCGAGTTCTCCACCACCTTCCAACCATCAAACACTCCTCCACACTCACCCAAAACCTTTCCATACCATTCCCCATCCATTCTACACCATAAAACTACCCAAAACCTGTCCATACACAATCTGCCGCAAGCAAGGGAAAGGAGGAATCTTGGATGCACTTGCTGCCAAGTTGGAGCATTCTAGGTGTTTTCTTTCTTTGGATTTTAATGTCTAATTCATGTAATCTTTGTTTTGCTTTAAGTATGATTGGCTAATTTCGTTTTTGGCTAAGGGTGTATTCAAAACCATGATTATATATGTGAAATGAGTTGATTACTTCCAGTTATTGTTACATAAGTCGTGAATACAATTTGCTTAACCATTTGATTTAGAACTTATTCTTGTATGTTGATTGAGAGTGCACGCTTAATTTGCATGCTTGAATTTGATGCTAGGATATAAATTTGTTTCACCTAATTGTTATGAATTTATATTCGTAAGTAGTGAAGGTCGCTAGTCACGATCGTGTTAAGTAGATTCCTGGCAAGAGTATCATGCTTTTCATAGTTACGAATGCCTTGTCAATGCTTATGATTTCCAAAGAACGTAATGATTCTAACTTGTGTCTTTATCATGCTGTTCATATAAAGAACTTGTTAGGAATAATTTGTTTGCAATGCATATTCATCCAATTCAATGATCCTAGGGAAATCTGAAGGTTAATTTAAGCGGACCTAATTAACTTGGAGTGTTGAGGTTCATAACTTATTGAATTGATAACTGGAAATTGATTTACGTTGCATATATTTCATGTGTGGAGAAGAACCCCTTAGCCATTCCATCATCCATTGATTCTTCATAACTTTGTATTACAATCTGTTTCTCTTACAATCTGCCATTTAAGTTTTTTTTCGTCCAAATCAAATCCCCAATTATTTTGAATTCCTAGATTAATTGGAAAGTGTGTTGGTTTATGTTTTTAGGTGTTTTAGGTCACTAGGAAACCAAAATTCGTCCAAGTTGAGTTAGAGTCCCAAAACTGCCCAGAAAGTGGTTTTTAGGCAGTTTTGAGTGTTTGGTTGCTGTTTTGATTCTTTTGGTTCGTTTTAGTATTTTAACGTGAGTTTTGCATTCTTTGAGTCTAATCTAGTGCTTTAAACTTTGTTTTTACATTTCTAAGTCAGTTTTCAAGTGTTTAACAATCCCTCCTAATCCCCGGTCTAGAACGATCCCTATTTACATACTTTGCTACAATTGATAAAAAGAGGGTTTAATTTTGTGTGTTAACTTATTCACATCAACTGCCCTTGTGATGGTGATGTTCATTATCTTATTTATAATCGTAGGGTTAGTTAAAATTTCGAAATCTGTGTAGTGGATAGACACAAATTTTAAAATTTAAACTCATCCAATAATAATAAGTAGGATAATGAACAAAAATGCACCCTAGAAAATCCTGGTTCTGATAATCCAGAAAGAAACACCTAGCATTAGACCTTTTTTTTTTTTTTTTTTTGAAAAATGATAACATTAGGGGTTCAATTGTTACTTATTAGTTGTTACTTGTTACAAGTTGACGAACAGTCTGTGGGATGCTAAATCTATGAATGATATTCTCTTTCAGGACCTTAATGACTATTTCCTGAGTCACATTCTTCAAGGGTATGGCTTCAATCGAACGCATACAAGAGTTTATTGACATTATTGCTAACATGACAAGTTTTCTTCTTTTTGGGTCACTCAAACTTTTTTTTGGGTAGAAAAATAGATTCCATTGCATTGATAAACAGGTGCCAAATATAAAGATTTAGACCAAATTCAAGCACTCAAAACTGAGGAGGGTTCTAGTAATTTCACAATTATCAACTAATAAAGAAACAGATTACATAGAACCAGTTTGCACTATAAAATTTTGAAAAGAAATTCCCTCACTAGAAGTCCAAAACGAATCGACCTGCCACAAACATGAATGATCAGTACCATTGGAGACCAAGATAGCAGAAAGCAAGACCGATCTGACAGACAGCTCTCGAAGGAAGACGAAGGGGGTATTCGACAACTTAACAATTTGGAGTAGGCATATTTTCATTAGACAACTTAAACCGGATCATACAATACCAAATTGTTTCGGTTTAGTGGAGACTACAGTACCATTTCGGAATCAAAGTATTTTGAGCCAAAAATGTGAAAGCTCTAATTTAGTTAGAAATATGATTGTATAAATCCTTGCAGATTATGAATAGAAAGAGACGGCTACAACACCAGCATCCACCGTGGCCCCTTATCCCCTTGGCCTACCTATAAAGAATTGCTCCGAGAGGAAGAGACGGTTGGGCCTGCGGAATGCATGAGGAGAGCTACGCCTGAATTAAAAGGAGAAGAAGACCTTGAATTTTGCTGCTTGAAAGTGTGACGAAGGTCGACGAATGTAGTAAGAGAGCCGTTGATGATTGCCGTATTGGACATCCGATATTTGAAACCAAGGCCACGAAGAACAACAAGAACAATATCTTTGTCCACGACCGGCTGATTGATGGAAGCAAGTTTATTTGCAATGGACTTGACATGTTGCAGGTAAACATCAAGAGATTGGGAGCCTTTGGACATGGCAAGAAGTTGGAAGTGGAGGCTGGCCTCGCTAGAAAGAGAACTCTAAGAAAAATGAGTGAAGACACTTCCAGGCATCCTGCGCAGTATCATGGCCAATGGTGTGATGTAAAATGGAATCTAAGATAGCACTGGTAAGGTAAAGGTAACAAAAGGATAAAAAAGGAAAACCAAGGCCGATAAGGGACTGGAAAGCGTTGGTGAGATAAACCCTAGGACCTAGTTAGGCAGATACCATGTAAAAATAGGAGGCATATTGTCTGTCCTTTTGTTTGGGTGCCCTTTCCATTCTCTTCCCTATTTGGTGCGGTCACGATTAAGTCACGTCAACATTTTATATTGATTTTTTTTATAGAGATAATAAGATAAAAAGAAATTAGAATATAAAATATTGACGTTGCTTAACCGTGAACACACAAATAGGAAGGGATGTGAAGGGTAACAAAATACGAGGGCAGACAATCTGCCTATGTAAAAATATTATTCCTTGATCACATCGATACTGTGGATTGCCACCAATTATCTCAATTTTTTTGTTTAAAAAAGATACATGTACTTATGCTACAAATGGAAATGAATAATTATATTCATAAGACTTGACCCTTGCTATGTCTAATTCAAGTTCGTCGTATTTGACTTGCAGCATAAAAAAACATAAATTAAAGAGAAGAATCCGGAGATGATTAACAATGGATTATATATTACTCTTACTTTGAGACCTCTATGAGACGAATTAGTTGTCTATATCTTGAACCATGCACTTTAGTAATTTATTATCTTTTCTTTTTTGGTATTTTTTAAGCTTGTGGTGTGGATATTGCATATGCAAGGAAAAGAATATATATTCATGCCAACCTAATGATAAACCAACTACAATAATACAGATATGGTTTGCAAAGGCAACTGAGAAAAAAAATGCAATTGTTTTAACCAAAAAAAGAAGAAGATGCAAATTCCAGCAGCCCATGGAGAGGACAAATATGAGGTTATGCTTTTAGTCTGAATGCAAGCAAACATTGTTTTGTAGCCACCAATATTGTTTGGATATTTAGGATTGAATTGGATTAAATTACTCACTACATTTAGTGAATGTTTAATATTTAAACAAATGTCAACTTGCAGACTTTGTCCATATTGAAGATATAAATTACATAGTTAGGAGAGAAGCTTACTATTCTAATTCTCACAAAATAGTAGGATGGGAGGGAAAACTTTTCTTCATGACCATTACATTTTCTTCTTTCAACCTGAACAAAATATGCAATTTAACATTAATTTTTTATTTTACATTCATTGAATCTGATGATCTATCCAACTCCTAGATACCAAACAAGACCTAAAGATCTAGGTATATGGTTAGACAATATATAGGACAGCCTTATTTAGACAACATTGTTGGAATTGCAACATTTTATTCTTTCTATAATTTGTAAGTAGTATACAGCCAAAGTGTATGGTTTTCATTGAAAAAATGAGCTGCAAGAGGTCACTTCATCAGCTTATTGTCAAAGTGGAATGTTCTATGATCAGTTATTCAAGTATCTATTGAAGTTCGGCTAAACTGCATATTTTATTTACAAGTCCTTATAGTTTTGATACCGATTCGACTTACTTATATTTTCACAAATATAGTTGAAGCTGCTGAACTTGGTTCATAAGATCCTAAATGTAGTAGTGATTTGCATCATCTTGTTTTTGAGTTATAGAACCCTAGACTGAGAACGTTCTTTTCTCGGCTGAAGTCGGTCGGTAGTAGTCAACAACGCGTTTCACATAACCACATTCATCTTATTCGCCCAATTGAGCTTGGTAGCGAGTTGGCATGCCCACATCAGCAATCAACCACTGAAGAACATAGTTAGCTCATTAGTTACTTGGCTTGCACGCCATTTAGGCATTCTAATTTTTAGGGTCGACACAAGCACATAAGGAAAAATCAAATGTCTCATTGAATCAATGTGCGAGATAAGTTATATATCTTTTTCTTGAGTGATTATGGAGTTAGCGAGTGATGATTGCCTTCCTCTTAAGGAGGTTTTCAAGTTCGAGAATATTGAATTTCTCATCATATATTTATGTTAACATGTCATTAACAACAATATATCAAAATAATAAGAAAATCACCCACCAACTTTTGATTCAACGCAAATCAATAAAATTTTGTAACCTAAAAAGAAAAGAAAACCAATTTTTTTCTCTTGAAAGTCAACATCATCTAACAATAGCTTTGACAACATTAAAATTTCAAGGCTAAATTGCGAAAATGGTCATTGGGATTTGCATAACTCCTCATTTTGGTCCCTGAGATTTCAAATCAATAGAAGTGGTTGATAGGATTTTTACTACTTATGTGAATGCAATAAAAACCGCCTATTTTACTTGCAAGAATCACAATGTTATTGTAGTATAAACGGATCTCGCAAGGTCATTCTCCACAGGGATTATTAAGTAATTCGAAACAAATCAGATTCCAATTAATTATTGTAAAGTAGAAGTTCAGGTGATTGATTTTATAACCTACTTAAATTAAAAACGAATTTAACTATTAATGATAAGACAATCTGCAATATTAAAGCTAGAGAGAAAAGAAAACAGTTTTGAGAGAAATCAAATTAAGAAAGCACTAGGGTTCCACCATCACCTAGCAATCCTATGAATTTTTACCAATTACTTATGATCTACACATGCCACTTTGAAGGTTAGATTTTCCTAATTCATATTCTACTTGGAACCTCCAACATAGAACGTATATCTAACATGCAACCCGTCCGGACGTTCGGATCAAATCTAAAACATGAAAAGACTCATTATGCTTTATGAAAATCCTTTGAAAAACCATGCAATCCTTAAGACGTGATATTCATCCTAAGAGAAATTACAATTATTAATCACAAGAAGCCAGCGTCAATTTCAGGGAACCTTCCGACCAAAATTGCATCAAATTACTTTTCTAAAGATCCTAATGGTGATCAGGCATTAAGACAATTAGATAGTTTTTATCCCGGTGATTAACAATTCAAAATATGCATGCAATCAATCATAAGCAATTAAATAAAAATCACATATTCATGCTAAGGCTCAAGGCTTCGCCCTAGCAATAGAAATTAGTTCCGCATATTCATAATTGAAATCATAGAAATATCTATTAAGAAAAGGATTGAAAACACATTCAAGTAGAAAATCTTCAAAACCCTAGCACTTCTCTCTGTCTCCAATATTACATAAAGGAAAGCGTTTTTCCAAACTGTAGACGGCTAAGCAATATATTTTCTAAGCCACCACACAAACCCTAGCAAACTAAAATTAATAAAAACCCTAAATAAAAATAGTAAAATTCGTCTAAAATCTGAACAGCCACGTTTTGGCCCATAAGTTGCTTCAAAACTGGCCCAATATAGCTGGATTTAATGTTTGGAATATTCTGAACACTTTTCCAGAAGGCCACAAACCCATCCGAGGTCATCTTGGGCTCCAAAAACGTCATTTAAGCCCAAAAACGTCATTTTCCAGCACTGCGCACTGCATCTTTATTTCATCGCCAGAAAATAACCGCTTGGTGGAAAAATCCCAAATTTTGATACGATCAAGCTAAGTGACTCACGAACGTCCTCCAACTGGAATTACTCCAAAATTCGTCCATTTGGTCCTGTTTTTCTCCAGAGGAAGTTGAAAGTCCTATATTGAAAATACAATTCAAAGTATCAAAATTCTTCCAAAATATTAACCAAATTATACTAAGATTAGGGTAAAATATATAATATAAAATCTACTCATCAAATACCCCCAAACTTAGCTTTTTGCTTGTCCTCAAGCAAAACAAGACTCAAACAAAAATAAAAACTTAACAAACTAAACAACTAGCTAAAATTAACTGACAAAAATTTTCACCTTCAAAGTTGCAATCCATAGCAAATTTCAAAAACTAGAACATTTTTTCAAAAGTTCCAACTAATCCCACCACAGAGTCTAAGCCATTTAGAATCAATTAGAAAAGAATTCACAAACTCCCCTTGGTGTAAAGTGAACCAACATAATTAAAGAGACTCGACTAAAACCCTTACCTCTCGTCCTTATTTATTTCACACATAGTAACTTTAAATATAACTCTATTTCTTTTTCTTCTTTTTTTTCTTTTTCACTTTTTTTTTCTCTTTTTTTTTTTTTTTTTTTTCCAGTAACAGTAGTGGTCGTGCAATGTCGGTTCACTTAAGCTTTCAATCCAACCCATGTAACGAGCTTTAGGTCAATGACTCCCAAACCACTAGGGCTTTAGGGCACTAGGTGTAGAACACCCCTAAGGACTTATTAATCCGAGCTGAAAAGGCTACGAAACCAACTAACCACCCTGCCCCATGCCAAAACTCTACCGTTTGACGCGAGAATCACTGCTGATTAGGCAGGACTGACCCGGTTACTAGGCAAAACCTCGGGTGAGACAATTATTACTTTATTCATAATAATAACTGACTTTACTTAAAACAAAAATTAAAAATTAAAAATAAACTTAGACTAAAAGCAAGTGTTTCAATCTCACTCCCCACAAACCATGTTGGTGTGATGTGCAAAGTTCAAAGTATAATTCATGAATTAGTGCCTAAGTAACAATAAATAGAAAAGACTCTAATGTGGGATTAATCTTTACCATGTCCATTTGTTCTAACGTTTAAAATAATCTATGGATATTAACTTAGCAAAAATGAAAATTTTTAAACTGCACAAAAATTAAAGACCTAAAATGTTATTTTTCCACCCCCAAACTTATTTCACACTTTGTCCTCAAGGTGTAGAATAATAAAAGAAACTAAATAAACCAAAAAGAACCAATTCTTGAAAAGACAAACAACCTAGACTAAATAAACTAAACAAAAAAAAAACAAAAAACAAACAATAAACTACAATACTCACCTGATTCGAAATCAGGTTCTAAGGTCATGGGGAAAAGTAACAAAAGAAACAAAAGTAAAGAAAGGAAACATGCACCTGATGTGGCGGATTGAATAGCCTTGGGGCATGATCCCAACTCGCACATCAAGGCCATGTACACGGCACATGCATGTACACGGGAAACATTGGATGCTTCTTTGAAAGGCATATAGCTGGCGGATTTGGATCCTCTCCTGAGCTAACGGAGAAGATCCTCCTGACCAAGTGTTATGGCCCGTTGGATTTTCATTCAACGGCTACAAACAGGTGGGTCCCTTTAAAGTTATAATAATTATAGCCGTTAGATGAAAATCCAACGGTCCATAACACTTGGTCAGGAGGATCCTCTCCATTAGCTCAGGAGAGGATCCAAATCCATAGCTGGCAGGCCAGTCTGAAAATGTGTCAGTTATGGAGCACACGGCAAAGAATGCACCAGTATGTGAAAATAATGGATGCCCTGTGAATCTCGAATACAGAGCCGAACGGCTCTTCTCTCCCTTTAATTCAAACCGAGTCACGTGAACAGATATGGGAATACTCCAGTTATATACACGTGGCGCGCATCACTACATGAAGCGTCTTAGGATGCCAAAAGAACGGTTCAAATCACCCTCATTTGCCCATCGTTCTCTCTCTAGAAAATCTGAAGAAAAAGAAAAACAATCTCGCCATTATCTGCTCAGTTGGGCACCCATCTCCATACAAACCTTCCATTTTATTTTTCAGCCCCCTCTCTCTAAAATCATGGCTCTCAGAAACGCAAAATCCTTCTGTCTCTTAGAAATTCAGCCACCTCCTCTCTCGGATCTCTGCCCTCGCAGCCCTTTCATGTCTCAAATCTTCTCTGCCTGCAACTGAACAACGTACCTCCCCCTTTGTTGACTAGCCCATCCGTGGTAGAAAATCGGAAAAACTGACAGCCAAAGGTAAAATCATCCTCCAATCTGTTGTGTTCATGTCTCAGATTTATTTGTTTTAGAGAAATAGAACTAAATCTAACACATGCATGTCGTTTTAGCTGTTTGAGGACCCCCAATAATTTCAAATCCGAGACAACAACACAAGAACAACACCCTGAATCTCCATCTCATCTCAACAAAATCATGTCTCCCAAGCCTCAAGCCATCACAGATTCGAGTGACAGTCTTGTAGATCGAGACCACTGCACACATGCAACGGTAAGCATCGCCCACTTAGGTCACAATACATGTCGCTCAGCTTGCGAAAAATCTCTGTAAGTTATATGTTCATGATGAGTCTGTAGAAGCTTACACAGATTTTTTTTTTTTTAGGTGTCCGAGATGCACCAAGAGACTGAAGAGACAACCTTGAAGAGCTCCCAAACTCACGGATCTGCAAATTGTTAGGTAGAAACCGTAACCCTTTTGATTGATTGATTAAGATCTGATACTGGGGTAATAACCACTACTGTGACTGAAAAATTTTCCCTTAACTCCAGCGTACAACCGAGAGACAACAACCTGGAGCTTCCGGTCTAGTGGTTACGGAAGGCAGCATAAATGACAAATGTCTCGGCCTCTGCAAATAAGTAAGGTAACGATCTCGTTCGTCTGCTTTTGCTAAGCTCAACATTTACAAGTTCAACAACAGTTCAGTAGAATGCCATATGTAACCTATATGTACTCATATTGTTGGTCTTTATGTAGAGGTATACGGATCCATGATAGAGCCAAGGACACAGAAGTAAACACACAAGAGCAACAGAGGAAAACAGCACTGGCCGCATGACCCAGATCGATGCATCTGGGAGGTAAAATTCGAATCCCTGCAAGTGTAGTTGTTGTAGATCTGGTAATAATATCTGTACTCAGTTCTGTGGTGTATGGATCTGTGATTTAATTGTGCTTCCTCCATGCATTGCAAAACTGAGCTGCAGAAATTAACTGCTCTAAAGTTCGTTTATGTGCTGGATCTGCAACAATCACCCCCAAACTTGCATCTGTGAATGGCTTTTATATGTTGACTGCTTTAAATTTCCAGCATAGTGTAGATGTGGTTGATGTGAACGTTAGACTTGCTGCTGGGTGCAGGATTCCAGCATAGGACGCGCTTTATTTTCCACGTTCGCAACCTGCAATTAACCAATATGCGTCAAAAAATTATAATAAAATCAAATAAACTGGGTAAATAAAATCAATATGCAATCTTCCATTTTTTCCAAATTTTTTTATTTTTTTATTTTTTATTTTTATTTTTTTATGTATGTTTTTTTTAATATATATATATATATATATATATATATTTATCTTAAAGAGAAAATCAAACGAAAATTAAAATTAGGAAAGAGTTTAGAAAAATTGGGTTGCCTCCCAATTAGCGCTTTATTTTAAGTCTGTAGCTAGACATTGCGGAAGTCCGGTGGCTAGATCACTGGTGCCTTCAGAGTCAGAGACTCGCCTACACCAAATTTCTCTATGCATGGTTTTAGTTGATGTTTGGTCACCTTCAATGAGAAATCTGTGTCCTTAGCCTTAATGTCCACACTACCATTCTGAAAAACTTTAGTAACTAGAAAAGGGCCTCTCCATCGAGACTCTTGTTTCCCTGGAAATAACTTGAAATCTGAACTTAATAACCACACTTTTTTACCAGGCTGTATTTTCTTAAAATTCGGGTTGCTTGGAAAATTTTCATATTTTCATATTGTTAATTGGCTGGTCTTCATGTATCACCCTTTTCTGCTGTGGTTTAGGACTTGAACAATCACGAGTTAAATTCGGGGGCTTTATGGATAGATGGTCAGTTGATGATCTGTTCATAAACTTGGCACTTGGTAAACCATCCAATGCATCAACACGCATGCATTCTTGCTTGTCACCTGAATGTATGCTTGCTTCAAACAACTTGAAAACAACAGTTTGATCTTCAACCCGGAATGTTAATGTTCCGGCTTCAACGTCAATAAGAGTCCGGGCTGTTGCCAGAAATGGGCGGCCCAAAATAATGGGCGTTGTCAAATCCTCATCCATGTCCAACACCATAAAATCAGCCGGTAAATATAAGTTGTCAACCTTCACAATAACATCTTCAATAACTCCTCTAGGGTAGGTAATTGAACGGTCAGCCAATTGAATAATACTGGAGGTTGTTTTCAGCTCCCCTTCACCTAAACGTTTGAAAACAGAATATGGCATTAAGTTTACACTAGCACCTAAATCAATTAAAGCACTACTAAAATCACAATTTCCAATGGTGCAAGAGATAGTAAAACTCCCTGGATCTTTTTTCTTTTGAGGCAATTTATGCAATAAGACCGCACTGCACTGTTCTATTAGATTCACTTTTTCGGAATCCACAAGCTTCTTTTTCTTTGTACAAACGTCCTTAAAAAACTTGGCATAAGATGGAATGTTCTTGATTGCATCAATTAATGGAAGATTAATTTGAACCTTAGCCAAAGTTTTCATAAAATCTGTCAACTGTTGATCTTTAGCTTTAGGCTTCAACCTTTCTGGGTAGGGCATAGGAGGCTTGTAAACACGTTCTGCAGTCTTTGTGGAAGCTTCTGCAGTATTTTCGGATCTGTCTTGAGACTGCCCAGAATCTGCAGAAATTTCAGAATCTGCAAAATTTGCAGATTTAGGTTGAGGCAGTTCTGCTGCCTGCGAATTTTCAACAGAATTTTCATGTTTGCTGATGTAACTTTTGCCAGACCGTAAAGTGTGTACAGCATTGCATTCCTCTCGTCCTCTTGGATTAGGTACTGTTTGACTAGGAAATGAACCTGGTGCCCTTTCTGAAACCTGCAAAGCAATTTGCCCAATTTGTTTTTCCATATTTTTCATTGATGCATGCAGATTTTGGATTTCTTGACTGGTAGTATTTGCTAATTTTTTAATTGCAACTTCCCAAGCAGCCTTAGGTGCAACATGTTGTTGTACCTGCTGTTGAAATTGAGGCCTAGTGTGTTGATCTTTGTCCCACTTTAAATTAGGATGATCTCTCCAACCTGGGTTGTAGAAATTTGAATACGGGTCATATCTGGGACGCTGAAAATTATTGAATGAATTAACCTGCTCCGCCATAAACTCCGGATAAGCATCTTTATGTGGACAGCTCAAAAAATCATGATTTGTCAAACTGCAAATGCTGCAGGCAGCTTGTAAGGGCTGCTGTACAGCAACCTGTGAACCTGGTATTCTCTGTAATAACATATCAAATTTTCCGTCAAGCCTTTTCTCCATTTTTTCAATTTGTGCTGTAACATACGGAGAACCGTTAGACATCTCAAAAACAGACCTAGATTGTAACTGCTCAACTGCCCACTGTTGTGTATCTGCTGCCATTTTTTCAAATAACAAACAAGCCTCTTGTGCATTTTTATCCTTGTACGAACCTCCGCAAGATGCGTTGACAAGAGTTTTTGTAGTCATATTCAACCCTCTGAAAAATATATGCATTTGATCAGTAGTGTTAATACCCGAATGCGGACATTTTCTAATCAACTCTTTGAACCGCTCCCACGCCTCATGAAACTCCTCATTTGGTTTTTGGGCAAACGATAAAATCTGAGTTCTCATGTCAAGGGTTTTAGAAGCCGGATAATACTTGTTTAAAATTTTTTCACTAAGTTGGGCCCAAGTTGTAATGCTTCCAGATGGGAGTGTGAGGAGCCATCTCCTGGCCTGATCTTTCAGAGTGTATGGAAATAAACGCAGCTTAATAGATTCGGCTGAAAATCCCCTCACCAAAATGTTTTTGCACCCCATTAAAAATTCTGCAATGTGCATGTTAGGATCATCAGATGATAACCCATGAAAAGTAGGTAGAATATTCAACATGTGCTGTTTTATTTCAAATGCTGTCCCTTCCTCCACTGCCGGATATGTAATGCAACTGGGTATATTTGTTGTATGGGCTGTCAGTGAATCACCCAGGGGCAGACCTGCCTCTGGAATTACAAACGCCATTTTTTCTTTGTTGTGCAGGTCCCCAGAAAAGACTGATTTCAAAAATGTCTTCTGCAGAGGACGAACCCGCTGCAAATTTTGCTCTCTGCGTTTCCTTCTTAAATGCTGCTCAAGTTCTGGATCAAGTGGAATCAATTTCTGCACTGTTGAACGGGTGCTGACCATGCACAGATTTCTGAAATCTGTACTGTTGTAATATGTAAAAATAAAATGAAAACGAAAATTCAATATTTTTTTGTTTTTTTATATGTATAAACAGCACTAACTAATTGAAAATCTGATTCGTAGGGATTATTTTAAATAATCCCCGGCAACGGCGCCATTTTCTTGATAGGATTTTTACTACTTATGTGAATGCAATAAAAACCGCCTATTTTACTTGCAAGAATCACAAGGTTATTGTAGTATAAACGGATCTCGCAAGGTCATTCTCCACAGGGATTATTAAGTAATTCGAAACAAATCAGATTCCAATTAATTATTGTAAAGTAGAAGTTCAGGTGATTGATTTTATAACCTACTTAAATTAAAAACGAATTTAACTATTAATGATAAGACAATCTGCAATATTAAAGCTAGAGAGAAAAGAAAACAGTTTTGAGAGAAATCAAATTAAGAAAGTACTAGGGTTCCACCATCACCTAGCAATCCTATGAATTTTTACCAATTACTTATGATCTACACATGCCACTTTGAAGGTTAGATTTTCCTAATTCATATTCTACTTGGAACTTCCAACATAGAACGTATATCTAACATGCAACCCGTCCGGACGTTCGGATCAAATCTAAACATGAAAGACTCATTATGCTTTATGAAAATCCTTTGAAAAACCATGCAATCCTTAAGACGTGATATTCATCCTAAGAGAAATTACAATTATTAATCACAAGAAGCCAGCGTCAATTTCAGGGAACCTTCCGACCAAAATTGCATCAAATTACTTTTCTAAAGATCCTAATGGTGATCAGGCATTAAGACAATTAGATAGTTTTTATCCCGGTGATTAACAATTCAAAATATGCATGCAATCAATCATAAGCAATTAAATAAAAATCACATATTCATGCTAAGGCTCAAGGCTTCGCCCTAGCAATAGAAATTAGTTCCGCATATTCATAATTGAAATCATAGAAATATCTATTAAGAAAAGGATTGAAAACACCTTCAAGTAGAAAATCTTCAAAACCCTAGCACTTCTCTCTGTCTCCAATATTGCATAAAGGAAAGCGTTTTTCCAAACTGTAGACGGCTAAGCAATATATTTTCTAAGCCACCACACAAACCCTAGCAAACTAAAATTAATAAAAACCCTAAATAAAAATAGTAAAATTCGTCTAAAATCTGAACAGCCACGTTTTGGCCCATAAGTTGCTTCAAAACTGGCCCAATTTAGCTGGATTTAATGTTTGGAATATTTTGAACACTTTTCCAGAAGGCCACGAACCCATCCGAGGTCATCTTGGGCTCCAAAAACGTCATTTAAGCCCAAAAACGTCATTTTCCAGCACTGCGCACTGCTTCTTTATTTCATCGCCAGAAAATAACCGCTTGGTGGAAAAATCCCAAATTTTGATACGATCAAGCTAAGTGACTCACGAACGTCCTCCAACTGGAATTACTCCAAAATTCATCCATTTGGTCCTGTTTTTCTCCAGAGGAAGTTGAAAGTCCTATATTGAAAATACAATTCAAAGTATCAAAATTCTTCCAAAATATTAACCAAATTATACTAAGATTAGGGTAAAATATATAATATAAAATCTACTCATCAGTGGTCCTTGATATTGTCCATCATCTATCATTTTGGTCATTCCATTAAAAACTCCTAGAGCTCTTGGCTGAAGTTTCGGCAATTTTCAAAGCTTCGTAGCTCAATCGTTTCTTAACCAAATTCGACCCATAATATATCAAAATGAAAATTGGAAAGCGTAGAATAAGATAATACCCATTTGGAAGCCCAATGGTTGCCAGAGATAATCGTAAAATAGCCTCAAAGTTGACTGGTCCAAGGAAAAACTGGAAAACTCGCCCAAAACTGGGTAAATTTTAAACGTTTCCAACGAAAATCATACTTCTCGACGAGAGGAAGAGAATGGTACCTTTTTCAGCGGTTAACTCTCTGTGGTTTGGCTGAAAAATGGCTCTAAAGTGGCTGTCTTGATCTCGAGTTAGCCACTTTCGAGCCATTTTGCAGTCAAACCACAATGAGTTAGCCATAAAAAAAGGTACCATTCTCTTTGTCTCATCAAGAAGTATGATTTTTGTTTTTGAATCACTTGATTTCGTTGAGTATTGAAGAAGTTATGAATGTTTAAAGTTTAACCAGTTTTCGGCGAGTTTTTCAGTTTTCTCTCGGACCAGTCAATTTTGAGGCTATTTTCCGACCATCGCCGGCAACCATTGGGCTTCTAAATAGGTATAATCTTATTCTACACTTTCCTATCTTTATTTTGATATATTATGGGTCAAATTTGGTTAAGAAACGATTAAGTTACGAAGCTTTGAAAATTGTCCAAACTTCCAGCCAAGAGTTTCGGGACATTTAATAAAGTTTTTAAATAAACAATGAAAATGATGGATGATGGACAATCTCATGGATCACTTATATTGATTTGAAATCTCATGGACCAAAGCGATGTGTTATATAATCTCAGGAACTATTTTCGCGATTTAGCCAAATTTCAATGATATACACATTAGAGTTTTGGTCACTACCAAAATAAATGAATATGTAACCATCCTCAACGAATGCCATCATGAAATGTAAGGCTATAATTGTCTTTCACAATAGACTTTTCCTCCTAATTTAGATTCTTTCCATAATTTCTTATTTCCATAATTAAAATATAAGTAATATTTTATGGCCTTGGGCCTCTAGTCATGATTCATGGCATTTTACACACGCTATCAAGTGACCTTAAGTAATTGCCAACAAACGAAGAATATAGGGGAATAGGTTCGAGATCATTTCATCGTATATGTTTATCTGTAATTATGCAATAAAAAGTTATTTTGTATTTTTTTATTTAAATTAAACACAAATAATATCTGATAAAAACTGTCTACACGATATATAATAAATGAATACAATGAAGTAATCTTCAGAATTTTCACAGAAAGGATCTGGCTCCTCGTCCAAATACACGAGGTGGTTTTCTATTTCTAATTTCAACTAAAATTTAAAACAGTGACCGCATGCCCCACGCGCCTCGAGTTTGCGTGCCCCAAACGCAATCCCACAGCGTTGTTGTACCACCATGGTACTGTGTTCTTCCTCTGCTTTGAAAGCACGTGAGATCGTACCCACCCCTTTGTCCAAATGACGTTTCTACCCTAAGCATTTTGAAAGTATTACACCCGTTCCAAGCGCCACCACTAAAAAAAAAAAAAGGAAAGTTTAACGAAAAGCACCCGGTACTGTTCACTTTAACGAAAAACTACATTTTTACACTAAAATGTCAATCATTGTACTATTCACTTTACCCTTTATTGTGTCATTATCATTAAAACTCAAAGTTTTCAAACCCTTTTCATTAGTTTTCCTAAAAAAAAACCCTCATAAAATCCAATTAAGGAATCATTGATCGATCAGAAATCCTGTCCGTACACGTGGCAGTTTAGTGGCCCAGAGCCGAACCCGAGAGAACTGCCCATGGAGCATAAGATTCTCACTGTGAGCGTACCACACACAAAATTTCCCCACCAGATTGCCCTGATCCGCCGCTGCCAAAATCCCGAATTTACCCTCGTCCTTATTCCGGAAGCCATGCCTAGTCAAATTCAAACCCGGAAAACAGAGTCGGTTAAAAGCAGGAGGACGGGAGGGTGGTTTGGGAATTTCACAACCTCGAGAGGATAAATAAACTAAAATAATGGATAGAAATTAAATTTGCCGGGAATAAAATAACGGTGGCCGGAGATAAAACCGGCCGGTGAAGGCTTTGATATTTCCTATATAAACCCGTCACCACGCCTTGTTTTCTCTCATATTTTCCTCTCTCTCTCAAGCTTCGCTCGCTCTCTCGCTCTAACCCTCACCCTACAGCGAGTCCTCCGTCTCCCAAATTTATTTAATTTTGGTTAAATTAAATAATTATTATTTTTCCATCTGATAAATACACCACACGAAAGCTCTGAAAAGAGGTAATAATTCTGCCCAATATATTTTAAAATTTAATTTAATTTTTCCGAATTTAATTTTTGTTGATGCGGAGGATCAGTAGCATGAATAATGGGATTTGATTAGAGACTAAATCTTTAGGTGGGAGTAATTTGATGAATGCATGAACATTTGGGTGAAGGAATTGTGGATCTGTTTGGATGGGAGTGGGATTTGGGATTTTGAGATTTCGGATTTGTGTTGGGATTTGGAGTGTTTGGTTATTGATGATGAAACCCTAGAAACGAAAAGCTAGGTCAGCAGGTTGGGATTGGGATTGGAATTTCAATCTGAGTAGGCAATTTTGAATTTAATTGGATCAGGAACTGCGTTTTCAAATTTGGGGGTTTTTTTTTCCTTCTATTTTTTGTTAGGGTTTCGTGTATGCTTATTCTGCTAGGTTGTATATATGTAAATTGTGCTTATTTGATTATGTGCTGTTTGGAAAACCAATTTATGCATTCTGAAGTAGTAATAATTTTGTGAAATTAATGTGTTGTATGATTTTGTTTCATGTTCTCGAAATCGTTCCAGCTTGATAACTGTTAATTTGAGCATGCTGTGTGTGTTGTGTGTGTGTGTTTTGTGGTTTAGTTATTATTATTTGATACTGGATTGCTTCTTGTAACGTTGTCGATTGATTGGTTTCCTTGATCTGGCATGTAGAATTGGCTGAACTTTTATAACTCTTTGATTAATGTTTTAATACCAATTTGTTCCATTTAATGCGAGCGTTTATCCTTTGATGTTTTCTTGTTTCCTAACTGTATGCATTTCGTTTGAATTTTCCTTAGGAGGGAATCACGAAATTGACCAGTTCAACCTTTTTGGAAATACGGTTTAATTTGTATGTATTTACATATGAGATGGGTTCTCGAGGAAGGTTGTTATTTGATCTCAATGAACCCCCTGCCGAGGATAATGAAGGGAGTGATGGCGCCCTCAGCTTCCAGCCACAAAAGGCACTTCCTTCTTCAAACCCCCACACTTCAGAAGTGCTTGCAGTAGCAGCCGTTGCACCAAGAATTGTTAATAATCATGCTTTTTCACATGCATCGTCTGTGTCAGGTTTTCAACCTTTTGTTCGGCCAAAAAATGCTCATGGCTTTGAAGGTGATGCTGACGAGAAATCAAGAGATAGTAATCCCAAATATACATCAGTATCTAAATCAAGTAATTGTGAGGACATGAAACCTGTACCATGTTTAGCTTCTGCTTCTGCAAATGGTCCATCTGTGGAAAGAGAAGAAGGAGAGTGGTCTGATGATGCCGAGGGATCTGCTGAAGCAGGTGGAACTGGCAGTTTGCATGAACAGGGTACAAGTTTACAAGGACAACCGGGAGGGATTGTTGAATGTGCTTCTGGTGTTGCTCCAGATATTAGTTCTTGTGATATTAAAACTTCAGAAGGTCTCAAGGATAAGAACACCAGTCATACTTCTTTAGGAGTAGATGATCAGAATAGTACTAGTAGCCGCATTTCAGACAGCAATGTTAAAGGTCAGGCAGCCATGGATGGTCAGGATGAACACGGATTGGTTTTGAAACAAGAAAAAGTTAAAGGCATTGAAGCAAGCCATGCACTCAAGTGTGCAAATAATCCAATGAAGAGGAAGCTGAGCCAACAGAATGAAGCAAAGCTGGGAAAGAAACGTAATAGACAGACAATGTTCCTTAATTTGGATGATGTTAAGCAAGCTGGCACTATCAAAAGTTCAACACCAAGAAGACAGACCTTTCCCTCACCTGTTACAACTCGCACTTTGAAGGACGTTCGTACCATTACTCTGCCTGCAGATTGTGTTGGGGAAAAGCAGTCACAATCAATGATTAAGGACCAGAAACAAGTTGATGTTTTATGTAATGATGGAGGAACTGCCGCAGAGTCTAGTGATTCCAAGTCTGAAACTAACGGGGATTTTAGTTATGGATCACTGTCTAGGACCAGAAGGCAAAATGGTGACAATGATCCTTCCACAGAGGTCTTACCACCAATTCCAAGGCAGAGTTCATGGAAGCAGCCCACGGATACAAGGCAGCTGAAGAATTCACATGTTGCTAATAGGAAGCCAGCTCTGATCACTCAAAGCTCCATGGATTCCAAATCTGGAAACAAGAAACTTCTTCCTGTCAAAAAGCAAACGGCAATCAGTAACACACACCAAGACACATCAGTTGAGCGTCTTATAAGGGAGGTTACAAATGAGAAGTTTTGGCATCACCCAGGTATAAAGTAATGTTGTATTTCTGTTTATGTTCATTACTGTTGAATAGTTGTAACATGTATCCCAGTTTTTTTTTTTTTTTTTTCCTTTCTTTCTTTCTTTTTACTCTTGGGAACTTTAGGCCATGTGTGTTAACAGCTTTCCGAATTTTCTTATGCCAGTGATCCATGCCCCTCCAATTGTTACATTATGAGATTCATAGCACACAAAGATTGGAAGGTGATGACAATTATATCGTGAAATCGAGATTCCATGTTAACATATTTCATTGATTTTCTCAATTTCACTTTGTAATCCGTATCATCATCACATGCCCTCTTGTGTGCAAATGTTCTCATAGTGTAATGTTCCTACTATCTTCAATCTCTTTAGTTTGTTTTTTTTGTTTTTTTTTTTTGGAGGGGCGGTGGTTGGGGGGTGTGTAAATATTTCAATTGAAGTTTTACATGCTTTGATATATTTCTGCCCCAGAGCAGCAGCCGACGGACAAGCTTTAGAAAAACACACACACAACAGACCAGCATGCATTATTTGGTTTTTATTTTCTAATAAATAAGGAATTGGTAACTGTGATTCTCTATAGCTTGTAAATTGTAAAAGTTGATATTTTATTGCTCAGGCCCCCAAACAGTGGACAAGATCTCAACAGCTCCATTTGGTGGGTGTGCAATTATCAGGAGGGCCAATTGGGAGGATTTTCCTTCATAGTATTAATTGTTATTGAGCCAACATAATATATTTAATCTGTAGCTAATACTAAGAGCAGCCTTCAAGTTTACATTTTCTGTGTGGAATTTTAACTGGTTATTGTAGGTTTCTTGTTTGTTTAAGTACTTGAAGTTTCAACTGTAACCTGTAATTTTGTTTTGGTAACCTATATTTTTGTGATTATTTGTTTATTTATTTTCTAAACCTTATATTTGCTGAAAGCTTGTACAGCTTCTAGTTCATGTGGAAGTTCTCTTTGGTTGGTAGGCTGCGACCAGGGTACATGTAAATGGTTCTTATATCGTTGCTTTTTATGTTATGTGTTCTCATAGCCTAGCAAATATACGTTTATCCTTTATTCCTTGTGGTTTTACCTTTGTCTTCCCCTTCAAAATCATTTTTCTTTCCACTGAATTTTTTTTTGTTGCAACAGGGGAGACTGACCTCCAATGTGTTCCTGAAAAGTTTGAATCTGTTGAGGAGTATGTTAGAGTATTTGAACCGCTTCTGTTTGAAGAATGCCGTGCACAACTTTACAGCACCTGGGAGGAATTAACAGAGGGTGTTTCTAGAGATGCTCATATAACTGTTCGTGTAAGAAGCATTGAAAGGAGAGAGAGAGGTACATGTCCAATTTGTTTCCTCCTACTTTAGTGATATATCAGGGTACAGATTTTAGAAATAATGAAAATAAAATAGGCTAGCCATGTATTTAGGGTTGTCCAGTATAGCTTATAGTACCCGTGCTTTTTTTGTGGTTCTGTGAACTGACTAAGGTGTAACTTTTGGTGGCTTAGGGTGGTATGATGTAATAGTCCTTCCAGTTAGTGAATGCAAGTGGACATTTAAAGAGGGGGATGTTGCAGTTCTTTCAACTCCTCGGCCTGGATCAGGTCTGATATGTGAATACTTTTCTGTGAAATCATTTCATTCGATATTGATGCTTTTGATATGTTCCTTACATTCACTCTTATTATGTCAAGCAGTCAGATCCAAAAGGAACAACTCTTCAGCTGAGGGCGATGAGGAGCCTGAAATCAGTGGGCGTGTGGCTGGTACTGTCCGGCGACATATTCCTATCGATACTCGTGATCCCCCAGGGGCAATCCTTCATTTTTATGTTGGGGACTCCTATGATTCTAACAGGTAGTATATTTTTTTCCTATGATTTTGGATTATTAGTTTGATTTCCTTTAGTATTTTTGCAGCAAATATGCTTACATTTTTTTTCTTTCCTCTCTCTGATATTATTTTTCCAGCTTGGTTGATGATGATCATGTTCTAAGAAAGCTACAGCCCAAAGGAATTTGGTATTTAACTGTGCTTGGTTCTCTAGCAACCACCCAGCGCGAGTATATTGCACTGCATGCATTTCGTCGTCTGAATATGCAGGTGACAAATTTTTGCATCAGTAATGACCATGTTCTTTTTCTTTTTCCTGTGAATAATAATTTGAGTGAACAATTTAACAGATGCAAGCAGCAATTCTACGGCCCAGTCCTGAACACTTTCCAAAATACGAGCAGCAGTCCCCTGCTATGCCAGAATGCTTCACACCGAATTTCATTGATCATTTGCATAGGACCTTTAATGGGCCCCAGCTATCAGCAATCCAATGGGCTGCAATGCATACAGCTGCAGGTACAAGTGGTGGAAAGAGGCAAGATCCATGGCCTTTTACACTTGTTCAAGGACCTCCAGGAACAGGTAAGACACATACGGTCTGGGGAATGCTAAACGTCATCCATCTGGTTCAGTATCAGCAGTACTACACTTCTTTGCTGAAGAAACTAGCACCTGAAAGCTATAAGCAAAATAGTGAGACCAACTTTGATAATGTTGCTACGGGATCAATAGATGAGGTTCTTCAGAACATGGACCAGAATCTCCTTCGTACACTACCCAAGCTCTGTCCAAAGCCTAGAATGTTGGTTTGCGCCCCTTCTAATGCTGCAACAGATGAGCTTCTTTCCCGTGTTCTTGACCGTGGATTCATTGATGGCGAGATGAAAGTTTATCGACCTGATGTAGCCCGAGTAGGTGTGGATTCACAGACACGTGCTGCCCAGGCTGTATCCGTTGAGCGGAGAACTGAACAGCTTCTGGTTAAGAACCGTGAGGAAGTTTTAGGGTGGATGCATCAGTTGAGAAATCGTGAAGCTCAGTTGTCCGTGCAGATATCTAATCTTCAAAGAGACCTTACTGTTGCAGCTGCTGCTGTTCGTTCCCAAGGATCAGTTGGTGTTGATCCTGATGTTTTGGTGGCTCGGGACCAGAATCGAGATACTTTGCTGCAGATTCTTGCAGCTGTTGTTGAAAACAGGGATAAAACTCTAGTTGAGCTATCTCGCCTGTTTATTTTAGAAAGCAAGTTTCGTGCTGGTGGCAATTTTAACTTGGAAGAAGCTCGAGCTAATCTTGAGGCAAGTTTTGCCAATGAGGCTGAGATTGTTTTCACTACTGTTTCAAGCAGTGGTCGCAAGCTGTTCTCTCGTCTTTCTCATGGGTTTGATATGGTTGTGATTGATGAGGCAGCGCAAGCCAGTGAAGTGGGAGTTCTTCCTCCCCTTTCTCTTGGTGCTGCACGATGTGTTCTTGTTGGGGATCCTCAGCAGCTTCCCGCAACAGTTATCAGCAAGGCTGCTGGGACCTTGTTATACAGTAGAAGTCTTTTCGAAAGATTCCAGCAAGCAAAATGTCCAACAATGTTGTTATCTGTGCAGTATAGGATGCATCCCCAAATACGTGATTTTCCTTCTAGGTACTTCTACCAAGGACGCCTCACTGACAGTGAAAGTGTTGCTAATTTACCTGATGAAACCTATTACAAGGACCCTTTACTTAGACCTTATGTATTTTTTGACATTTCCCATGGACGGGAGTCCCACAGAGGGGGATCTGTCTCTTATCAGAACATACACGAAGCACAGTTTTGTGTGCGCTTGTATGAGCATCTCCAGAAGTCCTTGAAAGCATTGGGTTTGGGGAAAGTTTCTGTCGGCATAATCACACCATATAAATTGCAACTCAAATGCCTCCAACGTGAGTTTGAGGATATTTTAAATTCAGAGGAAGGGAAGGATATATATATCAACACTGTAGATGCTTTTCAAGGCCAAGAGCGTGATGTAATTATCATGTCCTGTGTGCGAGCTTCAACTCACGGGGTTGGTTTTGTAGCAGATATCCGCCGTATGAATGTAGCTCTCACTCGTGCAAGAAGGGCTCTTTGGGTATGGATTTCTTCTATTTTGTCCTCCTTTTATACTAATTACAGACAAGTTTGCACCTTCTACCTGCACATACATACTTTGCATTTTTAATTTCAATCTGGATATTTTAACAGGTCATGGGGAATGCAAGTGCCTTAATGCAGTGTGACGACTGGGCTGCATTGATTACTGATGCCAAAGCCAGGAACTGTTTTATGGACATAGAAACTCTTCCCAAAGAATTTCGGGTACCAAAGGTACCTTCTTATGCTCCATTACCAGGAAAGCCTTTCTCTAATATGAGGGGTTTCAGGTCTGGTGGACCAAGGCATAGATCAATGGATATGCACATGGAATCAAGGTCAGGAACACCGTCAGAAGATGATGAGAAGTTGGGTGTATCAGTAATTTCTAGGAATGGAAGTTACCGGCCTATGAAACCTCCATATGAGAATTCCTTGGACGACTTTGATCAATCAGGTGATAAATCTAGAGATGCCTGGCAGTATGGTATACAGAAGAAGCATGGTCCTGCTGGGGTTGTGGGAAGGAGAGACATCTAGCTATTGATTGTTGGTTCTGAATCCTCTTTTTGCATCATTGGAGCTTTTTGGCATTCTATATTTTCCCTATTGTGCAGCTCTTGCTCGTCTGCCAGAAGGCTTCTGGAGGACTAGCTTCCTGTGCCGATCTCTGAAGTTGATGCCTTAAATCTGAAAGGCCGAGCCTTGTGCTGCATATTCTTTCACTTACTTGAGGCGTTTGGCAGTAAGGGGGACTTGGCAGGGGCTGTCGGCCTGTGCATAAAGTTGCTTTTGCCGACGATTCACCACCTCACAATCTTCAGAGGTAAGACGATAAATCATTTGATGTGCTGAAACCCTGAAACATGTATTTATAATTTGACCAATGCTTTATAGCTCTGTAGTTTTCCTTTTCCCTTTTAGTGTCATAACTTCTCATGTATGGGATACCAAATAACTCAGGAATCATATGGTGGTCACAGCAACGCTTTTCCCCAAATAACTCAGGAATCATATGGTGGTCACAGCAATGCTTTTCGTGTTACGGTAATATCGCTCCTGTTTTGATTCAATTGACGACTTCAGTTACAGAGATACAAAGGGGAAAGCTTCTGGATGACTCAAAAGCTCTGTTCGCGGAAGCATACTCACCGACTCCTCCATTCTTGGCGCCGGTGGCTAGTTAAACGGTTTAATGTAGGAAGTTCCCATTTGAATGATGCTATGGACATTTTCGGACGTGCACGGTGACCAGATAGTAGACGAAAGGTTAGTCCTCCTGTTGTGGTCTGGATACGCAAGAATATGTTGTTTTGTCCTCCTGTTGTTTGAAGGTTAGTTAGTGACATACATACATGCCAAAAGGTGGCATTTACAACAATCTTCTGTATAGAAATGGTGGAAGTACAGAAATTGCATTAGAAAGAAAAATCGATTTGTAGTGTCAACTAACATGTACATAACATCTTTCAGTTGTGGAATCGAATATAAATTTACCTTTTATGCTTTTGCCTTTTGTTCCGTTGTTTGTCCTTAATTTTGGAATTTGACAGGCAGGGGAATTCCAACTTGGGACGTATTTTAACATGATGAGGAGTACTACTATTAGATTTAGAGCTAATAGCGAGTTTGTTGTTTGTTGTTGCTTCTCGAGTAATAGGACCAAAACAATGGTGATCTTGGTCGCATAATCACATGTGAGGAGCTAACTAGGATAATGATGAAGCACTCATACAAATTCTAGTTCCATTGTTTCTCCTCAATTTTGGGCTTTGACAGGGGGAGAAATTCAAACTTGGGACGTATTTTAACATTAGAAAAACTAGTATTACTACTACTAGACTAAGGGTTGGTTTGACATTTTTGAAATTATTTTAAAGGTAATATTTAAAAAAGTTGGGCTAAATTTTTGTTTGGTAAATAAAAAAAAAGGTTATTTGTCAAAATTACAAGTTCAAAACAGCATAAAACAGAGGTAGCTTTACTCCCGCTACTTTAAAAAACATTTTTTTTTTTTTCACAACACAATCCAAAAACAGTGGTGATTTGATTACATCACAAGATGTGATGACCTAACTAGGATCACACCCTTGTTTTGTAAAGGACAGGAAATGTCACATGGCACATGTAAATGATTGCCAGAGTAGCAACATGCAGAGGTCATGAATGATCTCTACTTTGAATTTTTTTATTTTTTTGGGGACGTGTACTTTGAATCCTCTGGCTGCCACCATTTGAATTATTAAAAATTATAAAAAACTAATTAAAAATATAAAAAATTATAATTTTTTTTTCTATGAATATTTAACAATGTTCTTCTACTTTGCATTACATTTCAATATTTTCGAATACTTTCAACTAATCTTTTACTATTATTCAAAATTAAAAATAAAGTTAACTTTTATTATTTTATAAAATAAAAATAATATTTTAATACGAATTTGGGTAATTACTGTTCATTGCAGATAATTACTGTTTATTTAAGGGGATTGAGTTGTCTATTGTCCGAGAAGGCTTTCCTACATTAGAAATGCTCTTCAAAGTGCCAGCCCCGACACTTGGCTTTTCCTTTTTGGGGAGCCCAGCTAATGAGTGACTATATATATAGTTTCTCTTATTTTATTTTATTTTTAAGAGAAATATATTATTATTAAGGGGAAATGAAGGGTTTGAAAGTATTACAGTAATTTCAGAGAGAAAACAGTTTTAAATGTGAAATGTATGGATATAAACCCAACACTCTATCACAGTTCTCTCAATATACTAAAAAGTAATAAAATAAAGGGTATGATATCCACACGTTCGTGTTTACTTCTTACACATCCCTTTTTAATCTTTGTCATTTTATATTCTTCAATTCATTTGATTCGACGATTAGAAATTAAGTAGGTGTTTGAGAAGTAAAAAAGGATGTGTCACATCCTTAAAATAAAAGGGGCTAATATATAACCTTCCATGGCTACAATGGAAAAAAAATACCCTGAAACAATTGTTTAAAATATTATCCCTTTTACAACTATTAAATAGATCTGGATTAAAAATAGCCTTCCATGATTGAAGATGGACCTCAAGGCCTTTTCAATGGTTGGTGGGAAAAGTAACTGAAAATGGGATTTTTGTGTTTGAATTAGGTAAATTATTGAGAAAGTAACAGACGGAAAAAAAAAACTGTGATTGTATATGGTATTTTTTTGTCAAACAATAGAAATTATTTTATTTTGAATATGGAGATCAGTGTTGATATTTTGTTTTACCACATATGATATTATTTACATTAAGGAGTTGAGTAGATCAAGCTTCACAATAAGTTACCCATAATAATTTGGTTCGATTTCGTCTTTGCTGAAAATCGAACCTTAGAGCTTTCTTTTACAAGTGAAAATAAATACAACAAAAGAATATCACTAAACCGTATTATTAAATTGGGTAAAAGACTGTTTACTACCCTCATGTTTCATGGTTTTCAACATTTAGTACATCAATTTTTTTTCGTCTCAGAGTTATACCTAAAGTGTAAATTTTGGGACAGTTTCATACATCCGTTAGTCAAACTGTTAATTCTTCCGTTAAGTGATGACGTGGCACCCATGTGGACAATGACTGGGCGCCATGTGTCATTAAAAATATTAAAATATTATTATTATTATTATATAAATATATATATATATATATATAATAAAAAAAATAAAAAAAACCTGTCCTTCCCCACCCCGACCCCCCATCCCTTCTCTCTCCAACCCCCAACCTTTGCACCTTCCCCCACCTCGAAACTGGACTTGACAAAATACCCTTCTCTTCTTTGCACCTACCCAACCCCAACCTCTGCACCTTCCCCCACCCCGAAACTGGACTTGACAAAATGCAAGATCCAGCCAACCCGAAACTAGATCTGAGCTCTAGCTCTCAAGACGCATGGCGCAACTGTTGCCAGACGCAACTCTGAGCGCCTCCTACCACCGTCGAACCCAATCCGAGATCCATTTTCTGATCCCAACGACCTGGATCTGCTCTAGAACCCGTTCGAAGCCCATCCTGGGCGGCTCTGAGGACGAAATCTTCGGCACCTATTGGACATGGAGAAGCTCGGATCCAAACTCGATGATGGACCCTCCAATCGACTGTGCTTGGGAGAGAGAGGTGAAGAGGGAGGGTGCTTGGGAGAGAGAGGTGAAGAGGGAGGAATGTGGGGGATCGGGGAAGAGGGACAGGGGGTGGGGTTGGGTTGGGGTGCAGGATAATGAGGAGGAAGAGGGGGTGCGGTTAGGAGAGGAATGGTGGAGGAGGTGGTGGTTGTGGAGAAGCGGGGATAAAAATGGGGGAGAGAAAAGGGGGAGCCGAAGAGAATGTTGCATAGGGAAGAAGGAAGGGAGGTGGAAGACGGGTTAATTTACTTGATTTGGATGTGCAATGGGGGAATATAGGGGGTGGGGGAAGGTGCAGAGGTTGGCGGTTGCGTAGGTGCAGAGAAGAGAAGGGAGAGAGAAGGGAGGGGGGTCGGGGTGGGGAAGAAGATAGGGTTTTTTTTTTTATAATAATAATAATAATAATTTAATATTTTTAATGACACGTGGCGCCCAGTCATTGTCCACATGGGCGCCACGTCATCACTTAACGGGAGAATTAACAGTTTGACTAACGGATGTATGAAACAGTCCCAAAATTTACACTTTAGGTATGACTCTGAGACGAAAAAAAATTGATGTACTAAATGTTGAAAACCATGAAACATGAGGGTAGTAAACAGTCTTTTACCCTATTAAATTACATATCCTTAGTCGCAATATTAAACTACCACTCAGGTTGAACACAATTCCGCCTATTTCCCTATAGGACAATACTTGGGTGTTGGCTAGGCAATGTCTGATTTACTCATCATATTATGTGGTCCAATAAGATTGTAACACATGTCTATTTAATTCTTTCTCAAACTCTTTGCTATGTTAACAAACAAAAACCCACCTTCTCCTACCTTTACCCTTGCTATGGCCAATCTGCATATTCAAAGCCCTTGATCGGATCCCATCCCAACTCCTCCTCCTCCAACCTCCCCCCTCCATCGAACCACCCTTGTCCCCTCCAACCTATCTTCTCCCTCGTTGCCCTTCCTTTACAAATTTGACGTCTTCCTCCGCAAATCCGACCAAATCAGCACCCGACTCTCGATTAAACATGATCTTCAATTAAATTTGGAAATTGAGTCACAGAGGATAAGTCTAGAAAATACTAGGGCACTGAGATTTGATGCATAGATAGGTTGGTGGTGATAAGGTCACAGGGCCATGAGAATTTGGGGCCCTAGGCAAACCTTCAAATTGGAGGCCTAATATTCTATGAATATCTTTAGTTCTTTAGACATTGATATGTATAAAAGGAATTCACTAAATACATAAAAAATTCTATTTCCATGTCAATTATCATTAAAATTAATATCAAAACTCAAAAGAAGATAAATATACAAATATTACATGTCTCATGTTTTTAGATGCAAATGTACTAAATGTTTGCAGCCAAGAGTCTAAGATTAAGAGTGAAAAATAATAAACTTGATTGACGAGTATAATAACTTCAACAACACCAATTGCTTCTCTTTGTTTTTTTTTTCTAAAATCAACATCACATTTGTCACATCCCAGATCGGCTCCATTATAGCACGATATTGTCCGCTTTGGGCCACACTCTCATGGTTTTGTTTCTGGGAACTCACACGAGAACTTCTAAGTGGATCTGCCGCCTCTACGAGGTGTACCAGAGTTAGAACCACCGCTGGTTGATCCAGGGCTGTTTCCGCTTTTCTTGAAGTTCTGAGTCCTTCGTGGACCAAATGAGGATTGCCCCATGATACTGTTTCTTTGAGCATTCCTGTCATCATCCTCATCCTCATCATCAAGAGCATTCTCTAAATCTTCAACCTAAAGTAAAACCTCAAAGAACTCTTAATAGGTAGCACATGGAGTAGTGGTTGCCATAGAACGCAGTTTCTTGCGAGTTCCCCTCTTAAACAAACGAAGCACCTCTTGGGGATTAACAATAGTCTCGAGACAGTAACGGGATAAATCTGTGAACCTTTGATGATACTCAGTGGCTGACAGAATGGTATCGGAGCCACTCTGCCATTCGGTACGGATATGCTGGTGAGGAAGCCGGGTTCCCCTTAAGTGGGGTGGATTGTGAGATCCCACATTGACCAATGGAGAGGGGGTGATGTGTCTTATATGTACATACTCCCTTTCATATAGCACGAGGCTTTTTGAGAGCTCATGGCTTCAGATTCCATAAGAACTTTGAAGTTAAGCGAGTTTGGACGAGAGCATTTCTAGGATGGGTGATCCATTAGGAAATTCTTGTCTAAATTCTCAGAAACAAAACCGTGAGGGAATGATAAGCAAAAAACAGACAATATTGTGCTACGACGGAGCTGGTCTGGGATGTGTCAACATTAATGAATCGAATATTAATATAATCCATTGACTAAAAAATTATTGAAAAGCAACATATAAATTCATAGTTTTGATTACCTTAAAGTACAATCTTCAAGACCATGTGATAGTTGATTTAAACATTCGATAGAAATGGAGAGTATGGAAAGTTGAAAGAAAAAAAAGATTGCAAGGGGGACTTGAGTAAATTGGGAGTTGGACAGATGAATTAAGAGTAAATTTGAAAAACAAGAAAAAACTAGTGACTAAAAAGGTAGTTCCATGTTTCGAATTTAAGGCCCCAAAAAAAAAAAAAAGCCGAACATTTCCATTACACCAACAAATTTCTGTATTTATATGTTAATTGCATGATATAAAAAAAAATTGGGGGCCTTAGGCTGGCACTTACTTGGGCTACCCTTAGGGCCGGCCCTGTAAGGTCATATTCGATTTGGCCTTAATCGATGGAAACGTTGGAGGAAGGAGTGTGTGTGCTTGATGGAGGAGAAAGGGGCTGGGGCTGAGATCTTTGGTGTTGTCAGGAAGGGAGGAAGAATAAAGGTTATCTTTGGTCACATGTTTAAAGGAAAAGTTTGAGTTTGGTTACATTGATTTGAGAAAGTATAAATGGACAGATGTTACAATCTTATTGGGCCACATAATATAGTGACTAAATTGGGCACCGAATAGGCAGTACCCAAGTATTGTCCTTCCCTGCATTTAGAAGTACAAGATGCAACATGATGCACTGCTCAATAGTATCATTCGATTAAGGTGAAACAAGTGATATTATCTGTTGATTAAGGCATTTGTTAATTAGGTGAATCAAAACTAGAAAACTAGAAAATTTATGAAGAGAGATATACTTATTATTTTAAAAAAATGTGGTGTTATCAACACATTTGCTTTTACCTTCCACACATTCTCTTAAATTTCCGGTCATCGAATCAAATAAATTAAATAAAATCAAATAACTTAAATTAACAGAGAGTGCAAGAGAGGTACAAAAAATATGTGGATAGCAGTACCCTTAAGAGAACTCCCTTCATCAATATAAAATCTAAAAGGGTAAAAATGTCTAGTATGCTAACTTTTCAATTTTCATCATTAAATTTGTTTTTTTTTAAATGAAAAGGTATGATATTCATTAAATTTGTTAAGTGATATAAAATGCTAAATATATTTAAAAAAAGAAAAAGAAGAAGTAATCACTTTTAAAAAAGGGACCAAGAAACATGTGTATGCCAACACAAGAGTAACTGACTGATTGTTTGCCAACACAAGAAACACATGTTTTGCATTTGCCAATGATACAAGCATGTGATTTTGTTTTAGCAAATTGCTCATTGCTTAATATAGTACGTAGCATAACAAATTCTTTTGAAAAGTTGAATCCCTTTTTAAAAGTGACACCAAAGTTTTATTAGCAAATGATATTGGTGATTTGGCCTATCAGAGAGATTATATTTATTCATACTAAATTAAACCCTATTTTTAACAAATATCTGATATATTATTATTAGTTGACGCTTCATCTTTTAAAATATTAGCACACATGGTGGTACAATATAATAAGAGTAAATTACATAGTAGCCTTTTAGGTTTGAGGTCTATTACAACCTCATACAACATCTTTAAAGCATTTCACTTTCATATATCACGTTCTATTTTATTTCAAAATAATACATCAATTACATTTTCCATCCATTGATCTGTTAAGTGCTGACGTGGCTGCCACATTTGTGCCAAGTGGCAAAAAAAATAATTTTTAATTTTTTTTAAAACCTTAATCTTCTAAATTAAATAAAAGAATAAAAAAAAAACGTCAGAGACACCTCCCTGCAACCCCTACCTTCGCAAACCAAACCCAGAAAATTTCCCACCCTTCCCCCCACAACCCCCACCACGCGACCCCGCAAATAAAAACCCAGAAACTTTCCCACCCTTCCCCTCACCCCCCACCAAGCAACCCACCTCAACCATTATCCCCACCTCCCCCCCCCTAACGACCCCAACGAACTCAACCCACCACCACCCTAGCCCAACCGGAAAAAAATTCACTCTCTTCTTCCCACCCTAAAGCCACCACCATCTTTCCGACCTCGTGCATTGGAAGCTCGCCCATGCAAATGGCTACCCCCAAGGCTGCATCTTCTGAACCCCCTTCCTCTCGATCCGGTCACGGCATCTGACCCACGGCTCCTAATTGACTGTGTTCCCGACTGGCTTGGGTTTAATTGGCGTTTCTGAATTTTTTGTAAAGATGTGAAATTGGTTTTGCTTTTGTTTTGTTTGATGGATTTGGATAAACAAAGCAGGGGATTTGAGGAGGAAGACGGCAGCGGCGGGACACGGGTGAACTGGAGAAGAAGGGTGAGGGTGAGGGTGATGGTTTGTAAGGGATGAGAGGTGTGGGTCTGGGGAGAGAGAAGGGATGGGAGGGTGAAGAGGGAGGAGATGGAGAAGTGGGTTGGGGGGTTTCTGGGTTTGTATGGTATTTTTTATTAAAAAAATTTAAAATTTATTTTTGTCATGTGGCACACATTTGGCACAAACGTGGCAGCCACGTTAGCGTTTAATGAATCAATGGATGAAAAATGACAGAGGTATTATTTTGAAATAAAATAGAACGTGAGGTATGAAAGTGAAATATTTTAAAGATGTTGTATGGGGTTATAATAAACCTTAAACCTGAGGGGCTACTATTTAATTTACCCATATAATAATGATATTTACGAAAACTATAATGTACATCTCTGAATAAGCTAAATATGATATTTCTAAAAATTTCGAGTTTCTTACTGGAAGAAAACCACAAATATTTAATAATAAAATAATGTAATATCCTTAAGACACCGGCATTTGCTTAAACGTCTCACCCACCATTTCGGTCGTTTTTCACTTGTAAGAATTATATGTCTGCTACGATCCACACATAAATGACAAATGGGTTACGGCAATGAAAAATCCAGATCATATGTGCCTTCCAAGCCACAAATACATATATACATATTATATGTATATATGTACAGTGTATGTATTGAAAGAGCACGTGTTTTTGGAAATTCAACCAGATGTCAGCGACACCCCTGATTCGATCCAAGTAATATTCTTCATATATAATCCAAAGTCCAAACCCGCTACATCTCCGCCCTCTCTGTCTCAGTGCCTGTTTTAACACGAAATAATACTGCCTTGTTTTTCACAGTTGATCAGTTTGGGACAACTGAGGAGCTCCGGAATAGCAGCTCCGATCATCACTTCCTGGGAAGCTCCGCCAAAATTCCTCAATCTGTTTGGTCAAGGTGGGATCTTGTCTTTTGTTTCCTAGATTTATGCTCCTAATATTTCTGGGGCGGTTTCGATTTGCAATTCTATTACTTGAAAAGGTTGTCTTTTTACCATGATGTTTGTGATTTGGTGTCTTGGGCTGGGTTGCATACTAAATTACTTATGTTAGTTAAAATGCGATTTTGTGATATTTAGTTGAATATAAAGATAACCCGTGGGATTGAATTTTGATTGTTTTATGAATTATTTCATATGTAATTTGCTAAAATAATTGAGAAGTTGAATTGAGTACAAAAACCCACATGGTGTTTTATGTCGGCAGATTTCCCATTTGTTTGGGGTGTCGGTTGAATGTCGGTCGAAACATTATGGTTTAAGGTAGATTTGGATGATTCTATGAGGAGAGTGGTGATTCCAATGTGGTCATGTAAAAGCTGTAACAGAAGGGATTATTAAGTTGATTAGTTGAGTAGATAATTTGGATGGCAACAGATATAGTCTGAATGGCGGGATAGTTGCGAACAATCGCGTTTTTAAGTCTGAATTACTAGGACTTAATAATTTGAAAACGAGGGTTTGGAATCAGACTGGTGGTTCCGAGTTAGATTTCGATGATTTGGAATGGTTAGGCAAACTGTTGTTAGGCTTCCCTGGTAATAGCGAGGGGTGTGCATATGCTGTTAAGAATGTCAGCGTAATCTCGTTAGTAGTGATTGCATATGTTGCTTGGGAAAGTTCTCGCACATCAATGTTAGGTTATACAATTGATTTGTGGACTGCCATAATTGGTGGAATCGTGAAAATGTCAAATGACAGAGGTTCAGTTTGTTTTGCTGATAAAACAATGTTTGATCCAAAAATGAGATGAAGATGAGGCATTCTATTTGAACTAACTTATGATCCCATGTACGTCTCCTCAAAGGTGGGAAATAGAGGATAATCTCGGGAGAAGATATCCAGGGAATTTTGTGATCCTGTCAGCTAAAGATCCATGCTAAGTGACATAATCTTGTAGCAATCCAGAAGAAGTTTTATTTTTGAACAATTTGAAAGCAATTATTGGGGGCACAGAGTGAATTGTAAATCCGATAACTTGAGAGCAGAGAATCTAACTTTCAATAATGCAGCCATTGACATTATTGAGATCTTTAAAATAGGTACCTGAAATAAATTTTTCTCAAACTGTGGATGAATTCAAAAGCATTCATTTCCGTTGTGTCTTTTTCATTATGTAGTACTTGGATTAGCAGTTTTTTCCTGCTAAAAATGGTTGATTAATTAACAGAGGTAACATACCTCGTGATAAAACGAAAACATTTATTTACTACTTGTAAGATGCAATACCTCCTGACAAAATTAAAACTTTGTGTAGTACTTGGATCAGTAATTTCTCCCCTATAAAAATGATTGAGTAATTGATGTAATTAGCTTGTAAAATGTAATATGCCTCCTGACAAATTAAAACATAATATAAATGAGTTAGATCTCATACATGGGCGAATTTCTGTCAGAGTAGATACACGTGAGATGTGCTAGTCATTCTTGAAGCATGCATTCGTTTTGCTTTTCATAGGATAGAGAACAAGCTTTTTATTACAGATTTTGCTTGTTTATTCTATATGTTAAAGGATTGGGGAGAGGGGACTGAAATGGGTACATGACAGTGACACTAGTACTTACAGAGTCTTTATTTTTGATTTACCAAGTCTTCTCAGAAAACTATGAGTGCGAGAATAAAGAAATCCCCGTCGAATGGCTCTGAGAAGAAATTATCATGTGAAGAGCAGCAGGCAAAGGTATCTCCATTAAAAGTTCTCCTTTCAGCATTTTATAAGTGCTTTCTTTAATTTGTTTGAATCCTATAAGTCGGGGCATGATGATTCTACCCTGCAACACTCTTCATGTTTGCAGATTAACGAAGTGAAAAAGCTGATAGGACCATTGCCCGATAAGTTGTCCATCTATTGTTCGGATGCATGCATCTCAAGGTATCTAAGGGCGAGAAATTGGAATGTCAAGAAGGCAACTAAAATGTTAAAGGCTACCTTAAAGTGGAGGTCAGAATACAAACCGGAGGAGATTCGTTGGGTATGCTTCTTTCATAGCCTTATAGTCAGAATTCATCCAGATTGTACCTTTTCATTCTTCTTAGAACAGTATCCATCACTCCTTAGGTTTCTGTAACGTGATTATTCGCCACTCTGATGGGGGTACTAGTTGTCAAATAAAGCCTGATATAAAATTCTGAAGGTTGTTCCTTGACCCTATGTTTGGATGAGGGAATTTAAAGTTCCATGAAATTTAGGCTAAATTTATTAGGAATGCACTGCAAAAATTGGATAGAGGAACATGAAATTGACTAGATGCGGTACATTCAAGAGAACTTTCAGATGACACCTTTCAGGTTGTCATTTGAAAGTCCCTGGTTTCTTATTTATTGTTTTCGTAGTGCATTTGTAGTGTTTTATTAGTAGTTTTGTAGTGCTTGAGTAGTTCAATGGTGGTGTCCATGTAGTGTATTATTAACCAACAACAACAACAACAAAGCCTTTTCTCACTATGTGGGGTCGGCTGTATGAATCCTAGAATGTCATTGCACTCAGTTCTGTGCCATGTCTTCCGTTAGATCCAAGTACTCTTCAGTCTTTTCTTAGAGTTTCTTCCTAGGTCTTCCTCTACCCTTTCGGCCTTGAACCTCTGTCCCGTAATCGCATCTTCTAACTGGAACGTCAGTAGGCCTTTGTTTCACATGTCCAAACCACCATAACCAATTTTCTCTCATCTTTCCTTCAATTTCGGCTACTCCTACTTTACCTCGGATATCCTCATTCCTAATCCTATCCTTTCTCGTGTGCCCACACATCCAATAAAGCATTCTCATCTCCGCTACACCCATTTTATGTACGTGTTGATGCTTCACCGCCCAACATTCTGTGCCACAAAGCATTGCTGACCTTATTGCTGTCCTATAAAATTTTCCCTTGAGCTTCAATGGCATACGACGATCACACAACACACCGGATGCACTCTTCCACTTCATCTATCCAGCATGTATTCTATGGTTGAGGTCTCCATCCAACTCTCTGTTCTTTTGCAAGATAGATCCTAGGTAAGCGGTCGCTCTTTGGTACTTCCTGATCTCCAATCCTCACTCCTAACTCATTTGAGTCTCCATTTGCAATGAACTTGCACTCAAAATACTCTTTATCTTTTACTGACTTAGGCGAAGACCTTTAAATTCCAAGTGTATTTTTAACCATTGAGTCTAAATTTCCTTGGCACTTTGAAAGTCCCTCATGCAAACATAAGGTTTTTATCTTTGTTCTGCAATGCATCTTGAGATGGCTTATTTGGTTCTTGTTCAATGCACGCAACGAGGGCCAGTTGACATCTCTGTGTTTTGTAATAGTTCATCCTAGGTCCATCAGCAGTCCTTTCTGAATCCAACCCCACATATCATGTAACTGTAAAATAATTAATAGACCAATTATCAGACTCCAGCAGCTATAATTACTTCAAACCCAGATACTGCAATGGTCAACTGGAGTCTTCATGGTTGAGGCCGGTTCTTGCAGTATATGGTATTGGTTACTGAAGAGACTATGTTCTTACAAATTCATCATTTTCATTTCTAATACAGGAAGAGATAGCTCGTGAAGCAGAAACAGGGAAGATTTACAGAACGAATTATTTCGACAAGCATGGGAGACCAGTTCTCGTCATGAGACCACGTTGTCAGGTTTTATCTTCTAAACTCTTCTGATACCTCCATGAATATTCTGTATTTCATAAATTAGGCTATTATTCTAGATTAGAATATTTTGTTGGTCTCTGAGTAGCTACGTCTGGGATCTTATCCTGCTGTAAAACTGTTTTTATCGTCAACTTATTTCATCTCACCTAAACAAAAATTCATGTATTGGAGCTGATACTTTTTGCAAAAATAACTTGTTTGACATTCCGATAATTAGCATATTGACGATGGTGCACCATTATTGGCAAAATCATTGGTTATATTCATCTTTTTGAAATCCTTTTTATGGGATCTGCTGTTTTATAATTTATAGGCATATCGAATGCTCTGGAGATCCTAGTTTCAGAAGAAAACTAATTTGCCTTGTTAACTTTTTGTATTTTTCTTGTAGAACTCAAAGTCAACGAAGGGCCAGATTAAATATTTGGTATATTGCATGGAGAACGCTGTTTTAAATCTTCCTCCAGGTCAGGAGCAGATGGTTTGGATGATAGACTTCGAAGGTTTCAATTTGTCAAATATTTCTGTGAAGGTGACACGGGAAACTGCACATGTTTTACAAGACCGTTATCCAGAACACCTAGGACTTGCAATACTGTACAATCCACCCAAGTTTTTTGAACCATTCTTTTCGGTAAGTCCCTTTGATGCTTTTTGTTCCTCTTGTTTTAACTTTTTCGCTACATCTATTATACTCCTACAGGATCATTTATACTGAAGCTGCAACACTTTCAGTTTGTCATTATACAGCTTTGGCCTTGTCATTGACAGTGTCTTGTTTTGGGAATATGAACTGCAAATAGCCACCTAACTTTGGCTACCGGAAGAGTGCCAATTTTTTTAGCCTGATAAATTATTAGTAATAAGCGGTTTCTTTGTATCTTATGCCATTCCAGTTTCCAAGGAGCTGGCCATTTGCTTTTCCCGGTTTAGAAAAGTTCCAAATAGAGAGGAGCCTAGTCGCTTAGTACTTGTAGGTTTCCATTAACATGGGTGAAATCTACAGCCAAAATGTATCAGCTGGGTTCTTCTGATGCTAATAATATCTTTCTTTGTTGCAGATGGTAAAGCCTTTTCTAGAGCCAAAGACTTACAACAAAGGGAAGTTTGTTTACTCGGATGACGACAACGCCAAGAAGATAATGGAGGATCTGTTTGATATGGATAAACTGGAGGCTGCATTCGGGGGAAACGATACTTCTGGTTTTGATATAAATAAATATGCCGAAAGGATGAAAGAGGATGACAAGAAGATGTCCACAATTTGGACAAGAGGAAACCCTTCTTTGGCGGCCTCAGAACCTGGTGTTACCAGTGCTGCTCTTTCATTAGATTCTCTCAAGTTAGACTCAGATTCTGATGCTTCTGATGACGAGAAAACAGATATCTCTTCATCCCATGGGATAGAACCGGAAGTCTCAGACAATGATGAGACGGTGGCTGCTAGTACCGGAAATGCTACCGAAGGTGTACATTGAGTATAAGAATGGCTAAAGGTAGATGATGGTGACTTAACTGATGTATCGTCAACTCTACTTGTCAATTTATTTTGAGAAATTTTTGGAGACTCAATGAATGAATTCTCCTTTTGAAGTTAGTTGGAACTCGTGAAGTACACAATTCAAATAAGAGATTTTTGCATTTTGCTGTTCTTTGTTTCGTGTGCTTCATTCTGCAGAACATATATTCCAAATCCAGAGCGCATGAAGAATGGTGGTGTTTAAGAGCAGACAGGCGAAAGGTCGGTTTTCGAGTTGAACTTGTTTCCTTAAAAAATGACCGTCGAGTTTGACTCTAACCAAGGTTCTAAACGACGTTAGGTGCTAGTTGGGCGGCGGGCTGGGGTCTAGAGCCTAGGCGGCTAGACAGGGCCTAGGTGGGCGCCTAGGCAGATGGATTTAAGTCTATTATGTTTCATGTAAATAAGTATCTGCTTGTACATAAAATATATGTAATTTCATAAAAAAAACTACAAAATACATTAACATTTATATTATGAAGTATTGAAACATTGAAAACAAGGGAAGATAATGTAATGTGTGTTCATTTAAGTCTGCAACAATCTCTTACAATTTATTGAAAAAAATACAATGCAAAATGAAATTTATCTATTTTTTTGTTTAAGCGAGTCGTGACCTAGGCAGGTGCCTAGGCCGGTCTGGACGGGCTAGGCGGGCCTAGGACGGCTAGACAGGTGCGTTGGTGGTTTAGATAGGTGTCTCAGCAGGTCTAGGGGTCATTTCTTAATTTTCAAACACTTAGACATTAATCGGGCCGGTGAGTAGCTGCCTAGCCTAGGTGGTGCAAGATGATAATTTTTAGAATAGTGACTCTAACCTGACGTGTGCGTCTCATACGATACGATCAATCGGTTTTAGAGTCGAACTAATTTCCTCCAAAATGCTCCACATATTCAACAGATAAACTCATTTTGCGCATCATGACGTTTAAATCTTTTACATCGAAAAAGGGTTATAGGCATTTTCTCACAGCCAAAAGAGCTTATTCGAAAGACATCTTTAGAAACGAAAGTAAAAAAAAAAAAGTCACTAAATTAGGTTATGGTTTGAAATTGCTTCATGGAGGGCTAAAAGCGTTTTTTTGACAGCACACGTGGTCCTCAGTTATAATCCATGAAGGTGCTACCTCACAAGTTAACTGTTGTTCTAACAAAAAACTTAACAGATGTATAAAACAGTCAAAGAATGATCACTTTAGATACCAGACTGGAATGAAAAAAAACTTGATATATGAAATGTTGAAAACCTAAAAACTTTAAGGTAGTAAACTGAGATTTATTCTAGTTTTTAATTATTTTATTTTTATTTTTTATGTCCACGTCAATGGACGTCACGTCATCAGGTAACGGAGGTTTTAACGGAAAACATAATGGATATATAAAAGTATCCCAAAATTATGACTTTAAATACCAGACTAAGACCAAAAATACTTGATGCGGGAAATGCAAGAGACTTTTAAGGTAATAAAATGAGATTAACCCTAAAAATAAATTATACAATTTGAATGGTGTTGATAATTTGGCTTACAAAAATAATAATTCTATGAACAAAGATCACATGATGAACTACATGTTCTATACGGGAGGGATGTTCCTCCATCTAAAATGTTTTTGTTTATTTCAATCTATCATTACACGATTACAAACTGGGAGGAAAAAACAACATACACAACTTTCACTCTCATATAAGACATTGACTTTAACTAACTTTGCTTGCTAAACACATACAGAAAGTACACAGAAACGAGTAGCCAGGTCTGCGAGCTTGAGAACCGTACCAATATATTTCATATACACGTAAAAACTTGAACGAAAGCAAGCAACCGGTACAAGACTGCCGAAAGATAAGCCCCTGAGAAGAGCAAATGAATGTGCACAAGCAGATTTAAGAATTTGAAAGCAGCAGAAAACCCGCAATTTAGGTTCCCTACTTGAGAAAATATTTATGGGGTTACCTATACTAGGAAGGAGCACACCAATGAACCATCTCATCTAACTTCTGCCTGTAAAGAGCCAAACTCTGCAACAAAATTCAAATAGCGGACGCATTAGATCCTTGACAGAAGAACTATAATGAATGCCAATTTGAGATGATTAGGGTCTAATCAAAGCTCTGTATATAAGTTACAGCCTTCCTTGACAGAAGAAGTTGAATCTTTTAAGGGAAGAGCGGGGATCCAGTTGCTATGACTTGGAAGCTCCCTTTCTTTCCTCACCAAGGGAAGAGCGGGCACATTATTTTTCCCGGCTGAAATACTAAGAAATTTTTCAAAATGCACCTAACTATCGATACCATAGAATTGAACTATGGAAAAGTTGCAAGTATACAAGAAGTTGCATACCTTAGTGTAGGCATAAACCCCAGCCTCAGCAGGCCCCGCAGGACTTCCCCTCCGAATGAATTTTCCCTCTTTGGAAATGTAAAGCATGGGTATTCCAGTTGATAGTTCTAAACTGATAACCTGCCGAAATATAACAAGACAACACACTAATTTTATCCTTTTCCTGCTCCGCTCCGACAAATTTAGTGCACATCTCAATGATAAAATGGTCTGTTACCTCTTGAGAAGTCAGTTTGTCAAGATACATGATTATGGATCTCAATGAATTCCCGTGGGCAGCAATCATAACATTCTTTCCAGCTAACAGTTGGGGTTCAATCTGCAGCGTTATATATATGCAGTCAGATATTCAGAACGGCGTACTCTCACTTAAGACTTCAAAAACGACACAAAACCCTTGCATATTGGATGTAGTACAAACAGTTAAGAGGACAAGGGGATAGGTAGGCACATGGTCATTCTTACTTGATCTTTGAAATAAGCAACAGCTCTTTGAGCACACATTTCCAAACTCTCCCCATTGGGAGGGGGAATGTCATAACTCCGACGCCACTTGTGAACTTGTTCCTTCCCATATCTGTCTGCTGTTTCCTGCTTATTAAGACCCTGTAATTCCCCATACCTAAAAACAAGATCCATGTCATGCAAGTACAGGGAAAAATAAATAAAAGAATAATAATTCAAAAATGCAGAGATGGAATGGTTACATTCTTTCATTCAATCGCCAATCTGCAACGACAGGAATGGTTTGCTTTATTGTGTCTTCACTGAAAATCTGACTCCATGCCCTAGCCTGGTCACTCTCGTTATGCATTATAACTGGGACCTGCAGGAAAACTGATATAAAAAGGCTGCCAAATGGATATAAAACCAGAAGAGAGTGAATGGGAAATATGGAAAACTAAAGGATTTCAGACATTAAAACAGTTTTGAAAATGCAGCTCAAATTAATAGCGTAATATTTATTTTTCCTTTTAGGGTACGAACACTTGTTTTGTCTGCGTATCCCTGCTTAAATACGATGAATGGTATAAAACCAATTCAATCGTCTATGAATATCATTTTCTAGTTTCCAGTGCCACTGCGTAAAGCCTCCAAATAGCTATTCAAGTGGTTCCTACTAACACTCAACAAGATGTTTTGCTCCAAATTACCTTCTTACGACGGTGCTGTGTCATGGCAAGCATGGCAGTCATCTGTGCACGAATCAGTGCAGATGTATAGATCATGTCGACAGGTATGTTGCTGATTCTCTTGCCAGCTTCAATTGCCTCTTCTACACCCTTCTTGCTCAGAGGGACATCAACACAGCCTGTGAACAAGTTCTTTTCGTTCCACAATGACTCGCCATGCCTAATCAAAATCAAAGCTGCTTCATCTGCAATGCAGGTGGAAACAACAGTTGGAAATTTTACAAATACAAATTTAAACTTCAAACTCATATGGATACGGCATATCAATTGTATAAAGAATAAAGTTCAACCATTTTGTTTCTAGGAAAAGGAATTATATGACCATTTTATGGGTTAAGCAACAACAAACAATTAACATGAGCATATTTACTAATCACGGATCGTTGAATGGTTAAAGATGCTTACTAGATTTCTTTCGAGAATCATTGGCTTTGGTATGCGATGGGGATGAAACCATATCAATCACTGAAGCCTGGGAAGCCGAGGCTCGACTTACACTAAGGTTTCTCTGGGAAGAGTTATATCCTCCTGTTTTTGATAGTCCAATATCAACCTCAAAACCCTTTGAAATCAATCTCACTGAGCTTTTCGCAAACTCTTGATGCAAGCCGGAATTATTGACATGGCCAAGGGAGTGAGGAGTCCCAATGCTTTGGTGAAATGCAGTAGCAGCAGCCATTCTGAAAATTCGTAACATAGCAGGTCAAGACACAAGTACACAAATTATACAAATTAGAGGACAAAAATATCTTAAAATACAAATTATCAAAGATTTTGGGACAAAAACAGGGATGAAAAATGAAGGAAAAAAACATTATAAACAAATGACAAAATCGATATCGGGGAATGAGAATTTGAACTCAGGACCTCGGGTGTAGGAGTAACCACTCTTAACCTCTTGAGCTACAGTCCCCTTGCAACAAAGACGTAGTTGAACTTTTGTAACTTGACATGCTTACAAACAAATGGCAAATATCATTTTGCATTCCAAAATCAGATCAATCCTCACATTAGATGAACCGTTATAAGGTTGACGGAGCTCAGGAAAACATGTTAATCCCATCATAATCCACCCCATTTGACCAACACGTGGAAATTAATTACCAGAAAACAATTAGAATTGATTAACCAAAAAAAAAAAAAAAAAAAAAACTCTATACAGAAAAAATAGATGTAAATCCAATGCTGTTGCTCAAATCAACTATTTCCCAATGAAAACTAGATCCAAAAAACACAGAAAGGAATGCTTTTTTGTTTTTATATTTTTCCATATTTTCTCAGATATTCAAACACAATCTAACCAAAATCTAAAAAACAAAAAAAAAGTAAAAAAAGCACAGACCTTTGCAGAGATTAGGAGTATCAGAGAGAAACCCAGAAGCCAAAATCCCCCGATGGAAATGCAGAACCAATCAAATTTGAAAAATACAGAAAGGGTAGTGGGTGCATTTAGCAATCTACCTGGTTAAATACAGGAAAAGGCCACAAAACCGAGGCAGAGAGAGAGAGAGAGAGAGAGAGAGAGAGAGAGAGAGAGAGCAAAACAGAGTCTATTACGAGAGAGGTTGACGGAGAAGAAGATGGCTGATGAGTTGTTTGCAGAAAGAGAAAGCTAATACCTACAACATAAATATCAATGTCTCTCCATCCCATAAAACATTTAATCTCTCATCAAGTTTCAGGAGGAGAGGGAAAGAAATAAACTTGAGATTTATTTTACATGTATATATAATATAATCACTATATATATAATCAATATTTATATTTATAGAAGAAATCGTTGTAGTTTGTCGTCGTCAATAAAATCGTTCTAAAGCAACAGTGTATTGACAAGGGGTTTGCCAAAGTTGTCAGCAGATTGGTGGGCGTTTGTAGACAAAATTTTAATTGTGATGATAATATAAGTGGTACATCACGTGTTTTAATAGAAGTGGTAGGAAATTTTATTTTTTAAGTTATTAACTTTTTAACACATGTATCCCACCATTTATACAGTGACACGTGATATACTATCTCATGTACTAGTCACACTCTCTCAGTGTTTGTGTTGGAATTTATTAGGTTTATTTAGGAAATTAATTAGAGATTTGATTTGATTTTGTAGTAGGGTATTTTTGGCATATACGCATTAGGGTTTCTTTGGTTTATTGCTCTATAAATAGAGCTTGTAATTTAGTTAGAGAATAAGTTATTCACAATGTAGCCTCTTAGGGTTTTGTAGCCGTCTCGGCATTCTCGTTTGATATCAATAATATTTCCTATTTGTTAGTCTAGTTCGTTGCGCACTCTGATATTCAACTTGGTATCAGAGCAGGTTTGATCCTTTGGGATTTAATTGCCCTTGATTCGTATCAGTTTGTTTGTCCGTCTTGTTCGTTGTTTAGATTGTCGTTGGTCTAGTTTGTTTTTTTAAAAAAAAAAAAAAAGGTGGAATATGCCATCACCTCCGCTGCGCCTACCCCATCTGGATTTGCAGAACCATCCACCCACCATGTGCTTGAACTCGCACGGTACCCGGACTCGATTCCTATGAGTTGGATCTGTCGCAACTCGTATGAAGTCCTTCTGCAATTGCATTGGAGTTGTTCTGTTGGCTGCAATCCATTTTCTTTCCCTCAGACTTGGTTGCTGCATGAAGAAAGCAGAAGTAAAAAAAAAAAAAAGGGTTAGGTTTTTTAGGCCCATGCGGGCAAAAGAGAAAAAAAAAATTGTTGGATTTTTTTTTTGTTTGTTTGTTTGGCATCGGCATCGACATTTGCACTGGTACTGGCATTGGAATCTTGCACTAGCACTAGCATGGAAATCTTGCACTGGCACTGGCATGGAAATCTGGCACTGACATTGGAATCTTGCACTGGCATTGAAATCTTGCACTTGCACCGATAGAATTTCGTATTGAAATTGGCATCGGAAATTGGCATCGGCATCGGAATTTGGAGGCTTGCATCCACATCTGCTTGTTGGCAAACTCATGTCGTGTACCGCCATGAGTTTGACGGGGGGTGTTGGAATTTATTAGGTTTATTTAGGAAATTAATTAGAGATTTGATTTGATTTTGTAGTAGGGTATTTTTGGCATATACGCATTAGGGTTTCTTTGGTTTATTGCTCTATAAATAGAGCTTGTAATTTAGTTAGAGAATAAGTTATTCACAATGTAGTCTCTTAGGGTTTTGTAGCCGTCTCGGCATTCTCGTTTGATATCAATAATATTTCTTATTTGTTAGTCTAGTTCGTTGCGCACTCTGATATTCAACTGTTTGTGCCTCTAACTATGTTGTGTAGGTTTGACTTCAATCCTCAATTCTCATCGTCTTATAGTAATAGTTGTTGCAATCCTAACTAAGTTAGAAATATAACGTTGTAAATCTTAGAAAATCCTTATGAGATTCTATCATATCTTAATTTTTAGATAGTATCCTAAAAATAATATCCTGTTGAAAATGTAGTACCTGTTGGGTCAAGATTTTATGTTTCTTAATATTATAAATAGATACATAATATGAATTACATCAAACTCTCTCTTCTCCTTGCCAACACGCCATCTATATCCCTCACTATATTTGTCAGTTAAATAGACTCTACAACACAATTTTAATTTTTCTTTTTGGTACAAATGTTAATTTGGATGATAGAAGTTGATTTCACTCTACAACACAATTTTAATTTTTCTTTTTGGTACAAATGTTAATTTGGATGATAGAAGTTGATTTCATGGTTTTTGACTAGGATAAGAAGATTTGAATAATAATTTGGATAAAGAGTTAGTTAGAGGTGGTAAGGATTATTGATCAATGGATTTAATTGATAAATTACAAGTTAACTAACAAGTTTGGACCAAGATTTTCTAGATACAATAGCTTATAAGTTCGACATTACCAAAACTTTGTGAGTTTATTTTTACTAGTGGATTGATAAGAGCATGCATTGATGTTGAACATATTGCACTGCATGCATATAAAAAATAGTAGTGTTTTTCTTTTTGTGTAACGAAATTAACAGTTTTTTTATTATCTTTTAGTTCAGCAACCTTGAACACCTTGGTGACATAGGTTTTTACTTTCGAGGTCAAATATCATAAAAGACTTGTTGAAGTATTAACTAAATAAAAAAAAATAAAAAAAGAGTGGTAGATTGTTATATTTGGAACTGGATCCTCTTCTGAGTTCAGGATGAGAATCCTCCTGAGCAACCCATCCGGACCGTTGAAATTTGATCCAACGACTCCAAACAGGGGACCCCTCTAAAAGTTATAATAATTGCAGTCGTGAGATCAAGTTTGAACTGCTTGAATGGGCTGCTCAAGAAGATCCCCATCCTGAGCTCATGAGAGGATCCAATTCCGTTACATTTGGCATCATGTTCTTTGTAGGATGAACAATTTAGGTTGGCCTCATCTACCGCTAGTGGGTTTAATTTTCATGGGGCCATACTTGAAAGAGCCAGATTATGGATGGGTTAATCTATTTTTATTTATTTATTTATAAGACAAAAATGATTTTGTCTTTTGAGTAGGTAGAAGAGCCATAATATGGGCTCTAATTAAATCTTTTGCTAAAAAGATTTAATTGATAAGAATATACCAAACAAAGCAACTCTTCGAAATCACCAAATTTATATTAAGTCTTTTTCTAAAAGGTTTAATTAATAAAAATACATTAGTCATTTATTTATATGATTTAATAGTATTGTTCTTTACTTGTAATTAAGAAATTTTAAGTTTAATTTTAAGTTGGAAATTAATTTATGCACCAAACAAAGCAAACCCTTCAAAGTCACCAAATTTATACTACCTACCTCCAACACTACCAATTCCACACCACCTCCCTTTATGGTGTGAATTTTTTTTTTTTTATAGAACACGTGCTTGTTTATGCATTGTTTGTTGCTTACCAAATACATGCATCCATTTGACACCTAACTCCTCCCTCTACATTTCTTTTTGGTCAAACGAACTCCTCCCTCTGCATTCAAATGTTTCAATATTGAACGTTTCTTCCACGTGGAAAATCAACGAGGAAGGAAAGGGAAGGAGAATACCAATAATTGTAAGGGTAAACTGTTATTTGACCTCTTGAATTATTACCCCAGTTGAAATTGATCACTTGAATTATTTTTTTGGTAAATTAATCCCCCGAACTATTTGAAATTAGCCAATCAACCCCTTCTCGGTAGATTGGATCCACTATTTCGTCAAATTTAAGGGCAATTAGTCTTTCCATCATCAATTCTTACTTGTCAACTATAATCACCAATACAATTATGACATGTGGACACAAAATAATGTGTAATGACAATTTGAAATTGTCTGTTATGTAAACGTTCAATTTATTTATTTATGTTTTCTTATTATGCTATATGTTTTACACATTATTTTGTGTCCATGTGTCATAGTTTTATTAGTGGTTATTATTGACAAGTAAAAAATGATGATGAAATGACTAATTTGCCCTTGAATTTGACGGAATGGTTGACAAAATCTAACAGCAAGGGGGTTAATTGGATGATTTTAATTAGTTCAGATGGTCAATTTCGACTAGGGTGATAGTTCATGAGGTTAAATTGTTCATGGGGTTAAACCGTAGTTCACAACTACCCGCACCCTTGATTCCCAGATCCACACCTGCGCCACTCTCTGATCATATCCTCTCTCTTTTTGGTTCTCGTCCAGTTTCGAATAGAAAAACTTCTCCTAATTTAGGTGATTTCACTTAAAACTATGCACCTGTGTTAGGCTTAGTTGGCTTTTGCAGTACGCTACTTTTTGAATCCAAATTTGAAATTTTCTCACAATAAATTATTATAATTTAGAACAGGATAACGTTTTGTAAAAGAAATATATTAAAAACTATTATAGACGAGGTCATAATGCTAAGCTCCTTTTAGGTGGGTGGAACTCAAAGGCCCTTATTGATGCTTCTAATAGGATCATTACCAGTACCACCCCCTAGTATTTGAGCGCCTTGATGTTTACGTTCAGAAACTTATTTGTAGATTTCAAGACATTTTGTTTTGTCATATTTGTCAGAAAGTTAATTTTGTGATCGATGTGGGTCACCCTTCTCTCACTATTGTTATTTGCTTGCAAAGCGAAAACCCAAATTGCCTTGTCTTCTTCATATCTGTTAGCGCCTATATGATGTAAGAGCTGATGATTATAATCCACTTAGCCTAACTCAAATGAGATTAGGATCTTGATAATCTCCGTAACCAGCAGAGTGGCATCATACATAACTCAAGTCCAATGGACTATCTTGATTTGGTTTGGCCCGTTGTTATAAAATGGTCTGGGCTTGAAGCTTTAAGAAAAAACTTTTCCTTTCATAATTTGGGGCTTTGATAATTTTAGCACCTTCATGATAAAACCCAAACATTGATGATTCTGCTTAATAACGCTTCTCTTATTTTGATATAAAGATATATTTATACTGAAGAATGAAATTTCTTCATTTGAGTCCGAAAACAGTACAAAAGAGAAGAAAGACCCTGCAACCTCAATCCAACTTTCAAAAATGAACACAAATAACACAAAAAAATGTTCTTTTTCTGTTAAACATAAAAATAAAATAATTAGAAGTAGTGTTTTCAACAAGAAAATCAACGTAAAATTTCACAGTCCTGCTCCTAAGTCCTAAATAGGGATAGACAATGGTTATGGCGGTGAGTAACCGTAATTATTTGCCCACAATCGTTTATGCATACCCACATAACCGTTTATCGGTTGTG